TAATATTAATGGTTGCTGTTGCTGGGGGGAGGGGGCTGGGAAGGAGCAGTGGTGGGGTGTATTTGGCGTAAATAGACATACAGACATTTTGCGCTTAATTTTTGTCCTTACAACTATGAAGTTCAGGCGAGATTGTACTTTGGCAGGGACTGTACCTTTCAGCAGTTTTGTCTCTTGCATCTATATAAAGAAAGATAAATAAAAAGAAGAAAAATAAAAGAGGTTATAATAAGATTGGGCCAGCAGGTTATAATGTACGCTAATGTCAGTGGAAATTTCTGTAGTCTAAACATAAAAAGTCTTGTCTGGTCAATTTGCTCAAATCCCTTTCATTCTTTATAATAATCATTATACTCAGCATGTGTTGTAGCATTGGAACCTTTGGGGATCGCCTTTAGGAGCCCCCGACTGATGGGCGACCATGCGCGTTGTGTTTTGACTTGCTGAGTGCAATACAGTAGCTCTCGGCAAGAGGTGGGATGACAGTGAACTGTGAAAAATTATTGAACGAGCTGATGGGACAAACATTTTTCTTGTTGAGTTGTTTCGGAGTGTTCATGATGGCCGATCGAGAATCACGGATGTCCCTTGCATCATGGCCCATTCGGCGCCTGACGCTAATGCTGCTGAGAACTGGCGGATTTGAGATATTCGTTGTCGTAAAGGCAAAGACGATAAAGCGGACCAACTGAAGATGAATAAGTTATTACATTATGCCGGACCGGAAGCCATCAAAGAATATACAGCCACTTTTAGTTCACTGGTGACAAAAACAAACATTGCAAGATGTTTGTCATGCACAAGTTCAAGGAATTGTATCAGGGTGCTAAAATGTAATTTAGAGGGCGACTGGTGTCATGATCGTATCCTGGGAGGAGTTTTTTCAGATGAATTGCAAAGCCAACTGCTGAAGATGCCAGATTTGACGTGGCAAGCTACTGACAATTATTGCCGTACATCCAGAAGTACAAGTTTAACACACCAAAAGTTGCTCGTACCGAACGTTCACTTCACTCTATTAGAAACTTCAAGGTTGAAAAAAGGACAGCTGCTCGCTTCCTGTAAGTGTTGTGGTAATAAGCACCCATTTACTCAATCATCTCGCTGCCCGGCCTTCACTTGGAAAAAATGCAACAAATGTAAGAAGGTGTGCAAAGACTTAAGTGCTGAAGGTTAACAAGTTGTAGCCGTGGAAAATTAGACCCCATTGATGTGCGCACATGTTTTGGATCTGTTGAGCTGGATAGTGTCTCCGGTACTCGAAAAAAATCTAGAGCTTAATTGATCTCATAATCGCTGAGATGGATGTACAGATCAAAGCAGATACTAGTGCAGAGGCTACAGTCAGGCCCCTATGAGCTATACAAGGAAATCACAAACAAACCTCCTCAGATTGAAACTGGTTGGTGTATGCGAAACCGGCTTATCGACCTAATTGAGATAATGATGATGGCATCTTCAAAGTACGGTCAGACTAGGTATTCATTCTTCCTGGAGGCACAAACGTGTAAGGCAACACATGATATGGCGCGCCTGTGTCAATCTGCGTTTGAACACTTTCTTCTGCGATTTCCATTGTCGCGAAGATTTTCTTTTCAACAAGGCTCTCTTTTCCTTAACGTGTCAGTAGTGGTAGAGGGATGATTTGGGCCGCTTGGTATCTAGTTAGTGTCTAGCAAGGTCTAGTCAATGACTCGAAGTAGTTTTTGTTTCCCTCAGATCATTTCTATGTAATTTTACCCTTGATAACTCGAACCATGTTTTGAGCCCTTAAAAAGTCGGGGAACAAAATGGTCTACTGGTGTCGAAACATTAAATTTTGAATTTCCCAATGTCTGATTGTAGGAGTACAGGTTACTAGTGAGGCTGATGTTGTTTGTCACAAATCTAACGTGAAACCAAGTCGTGCTACTGCCGTGTAACACGGCAAACCACACGGCAGTAGCTCGACTTGGTTTCAAACGTCGTGCGACCGCCGTGCCGAACTCAATTCATAAATTATAAATAAATTAGAATATAAAATTACTGTAACTGTTTGCTTTCGTGCAAGCTAGGCGAATAATGACCAGGTCTGAAATAGCAGAACTTTATAGCTAGACAGTGTCTCAAATCTCGACCAATGAATACAGTTGTACCATAAGCTACCTAGTCTTATGATGATTAAAGTCTAGCCACGAATAACAGGGCCTTGAAAACAGGGACCAATGTGCACGATGCTAAGAAAAATATGATGACAAACATACGACAAATTAGTCAGGTTCCAACCACGAACAATTTTGTTTGTATCTTAAAATTAGTGTGCTTTCATTCATAAATAAGGCTTTAAAGATCGAACAGAGCATACATTGGGGCAGGCTACCTTAGCCTACCCCCCCCTTGGGCTTCATGTTCCATTAACTACATTTACCATCTGGTAAATGTCTTAATAAAAGTTTGCTAAACCGTTTCTTTTTGTGTGTGTTGTTTTCGGCAACAGCCGTTCTATTCGACTGAACTAAATTCGACGTCGGAAACCAAGTCGTGCTAGTGTCTTGCTGCAGTCAAGCTACAGTCGAGCCAGCTTAGCACGGCAGTAGCACGATCGATGTTCGAAACAGGCCTTACTTTTGTACCGGTCTGAGGTTGTACAGTTCTCATGTAAAACGGAAATAAATCTCTGACCGGGTTTATAAATAGCATGTTTCTTGGTATGGCTCTATCATTTTTGCTTTTTCTACGCAAAATAAGAACACTGCTATGAATAACTGTAAACAAGACTTGGAAGTAGCTTCAATTGAATATATGCTTCGGTTAATTAAGGGATTGCACCAATATGAGATGCTGTGCATATAACATGCCACCAGATGAGCGTTAGACTAAGTTTACAATTTTCTGGGAGCAGTAAAATCTCAGTTCTCTACTCACTGTCGTAATTGGGGTAAATTTGTACCAGTTAGGACAGGCAGCGAATAATATGTTAAATAATCGACTTAAGAGAGTTAGTATACATCCAAGAATCTCCTGCTTTCGTATCGTTTTGTCTCGGTCTCATGTAAACGACTGCAAAAATTACAATTTTTACCGGCCTGAGTTCGTCCCGGTCTCATGTAATTACCCCCTAACTCTTTTCTGTCTAACCTACCACAGCGCTAAACCCTCGTTTCACTTGCCAATTTTCAGATATTGGGGGGAGGGGAGGGGGGTCCTGACAAAATTTTGATTTTTCCAAAAACTGAGAAACACTGTTAGCGCATTTACTTAGGCATGGAGGAAATAAGATTTAAGACTGATCACTCGCAACATGGTGATGATAAAAACCCAACTGCCAGATTACGCATTTATGCCCCCAAAATAATTTTATTTGTCTTGAGTTGCAGAAAAAAGAAAGAAAGAAGTATTAGTTAAAGTAAGTTTTACAGTCCAATGGGAATTCGTCTGTTTAAAGCGGGCTCTGAATTTTTACACTCCTTTTCAATACACTTCGCTGCTACATATAGGTAATATAGAGGTCAGCAAAGGGTCAACTACTTTTTTGTAATATTGCAACTTCAAGTACCCTTAAAACCTTGGGCATACAAGGTAGAGGAGTGGGTGCAATCCCCGGAAAGTTTTTTGAATCAACCACCAAGACAAGTCATCACATATCCACACTTGGCGTCGGAGCGGGAGCTCGTGCGCAATACCAGAACCATAAAAAACACTGAATGACTTTTGAAAAAGTCATGCAGTCTGCAAAACAGCTACATAAAATGACCAAATTCAAGCTTTGGAGAGAACGTGAACCCGAGATACTTTTCTTTTCTCTATCAGAACGTTAACCTTCTCCCCTACAAATCCCACAGGCCAAACGCCAGTAGCTCGGTTACTTAGTGCAAATTTAACTAGCCAATGTAGTTTTAATCATGACGATCTTTCTTTAGTGACTTTTTCCTTTGTATCGCCCTTAGTTAGCTTTAAATAACTAGGCTTCCTCGTTATGACCTGTTGACCAAAAACAAACAAAGTATTGCAAATCTTCTTTGAAACATAATCAAATTTTCCTTTAATTTATTGATAATTCAATGTTAAATTTGGTGATTTATGTTTACCCGCACCCGCACCCGCACCCGCACCCGCTACCTCTACCCCCGAGTCGCGACCCGCGACATTTAAACATACTCTAAGGCGCATGATAACAAAACCGCAAACAGCAACGGTAATTAGTTTGTGCTTTTGAGGTTTGCTCGCGTGTCCTGAACTTTATTTCGATTGGCGAATACACAATCAACATTCCTTAAATTTTTCAGGTTTTCCTGAGTTTGACAGTAATTAGTATGCAGGAAGACAGTGACTATAGACACATATGTTTTACTAATGAGGTAACGTCATTCACTAGGCCTTGCTAGACACTTACTAGACACCAAAACGGCCCAAATCATCCCTCTACCGCTACTCGTGTGAAAGGTTAAGGACTATAATTCACCTTCGGAGGAATTTTCTGAATCAACCGTGTTAACACCGCTCCAAGGTCAGCTACCTTAATTTACCCTCACCACTGTGGCACATTTCTAAGAAATGATTTGGCTTTTGACATTTACCGTACAACTTTCCAAACGAGGGACATTAATTTAGTGCGCTGCTTGACGTGACTTCTTCAGAAATGTTGACAGCATTTAAATAGTTCTTCTTTAGGCTCCTGTAGGAGCTATTTTAACGGGGCTTCTGACCTTTGCTGCGTGGGTAGCAGATTCGACGTTCCAGGCTTGTTTAAGAAATTGACATTTCCGAATGGTGTGCTACATGTGATGATTCCCGCCAATCGCTTTCAGGTGAGCGCTGGTTGCTTCAGCAGATCGAAAAGTATCCAACAATTTTAGGCTATTGTCACACTTTTCGACGAATGCTATTTCCAGCGATACGGGGTTGCCAACCCGCGGTAACGTATTATAAACATCAATTGCTTCGTGAGGCTCGCATTTTCGGATCTAATAGCGTGTCTGGACTTGTTTCCTTTCCAGCATCCTCTCTCTGACATCTCTGAATAACTTGGGTTTCAGGAGTTCTCTTGAGGTCGGCACGCTGTTCTGGTGCGTCTACCAAACATCCCTTAAGCAGGCTAACTCTTCATAAGCTTTGGTTGGGGTTTTTAGCCAGTCAGGTAAAGCATGCTGGATTGATATCTGAGTTGGTCCTCGCATTATCAGACTTTTTGCTGCGTCTTAATTGCATTTTCCCTTTTGCCGTTACTCAGCGTATACTCTGGGGGACTGGTAACGTGTTCAAACTTGACATTGTGGCAAAGGCTGAAAATTCTTTTGAATTAAAAAGAGCACCATCCCACTTCTGACACCATGCATGTTAAGATTTAGTTCAAATAAACGGCACAAAAGGCACTTGGAATCTCAAAACGTCAATGAAAGCGAAGCTTCAAGCTTCAACAACTTGCAAGTGAAGTGTGCCGGGAGTAATCTGACACAATTGGCTAAACTAAATCACGTGAATTGTGTGCGTAACATAATAACGTCACAGAGTTAAGGGTATAAACTGTAATAAAAAAAGGGTCCATTTTCAGGGTATCACTTACAGTGTTTCTTATCAGACAGAAACCCAGTTAGGTATTAGGTATTGCTTAGAGCTAGCTTTACTGAGATAAACAAAAACAGCGACAAAAAAAAAAAAGAAGAGTTGTTTAATTAAAACCTAATTATCGGAATAGAAGGCACTATCATATAATTTCGAAATAGCAGATCCGCAACCGATTTATTGTATCATTACTACAAAGGAGTCTCCTCGGGCTCTGATTCCTTTCAAAAACACAGCTAACAATTAAAAGGAAATAGTCTAAATTGAAGTTATTAACATCAATTAATGACACAGTATTCATTTGTACAATTAAGTTACCGTTTGATTGTCTTGTTTTGCACCACAGAAACAACACTACAGCAAGTGCAATCAGTGCGATGAATAACAATGCTGCCAACGTTGCCGCTACTACAACCATTGTGTCATATTTATCCTCGTAGCCTAATCGTAGGTTTGAATATGCTAAAGAGAAGAAACAAAAATGTGTGATATAAGTAAGTACGATACACGCGATACATTAAATCGTATGTCCATCTTATTCACGTATTTAACTTAAAATCCATGTTCATTGCAAGGTTCAAAACCTAAAAAAAGGAAGAAAAGAAAAAACTAAAACCGAACGTTTTCAACTATTCAAGAAATAGGAGAGTCGAATGATCAGCCGTCAGAATGAGTGTCGGGCTCTTAATGCTGTCACCTAAAATGTATGTATATGGCATTACAAAGAATAGATTAGAAATATATTTTGAGCGGCTTTCATAATACTGACTGACCGTAGTGTATTGCGAGAACTAGATTTTATCATTTATATAAGAGAGGGAGGGTCATGATATTTTAGGCCAAGGTGAAGGGGATGGTTAACAAATTTCACTCCCATTGCAGGGATGGGTCACCTCATTTCCGAACCCACATTTAAAATTCCAACCCCCTCCCCGCCCCCTGCTAATTTCTGACAAGCCCCTCAGCTCCAATGTTCCGGCGCTTCATAGCAAATATCAAATTCGGCAACAACTTTGAATGAAAAGGCATTAGCATGTTGCTTGGCAAACCTGGCACCGGTGGTTGGGTAGCTGAACTTGTACTGTCTGTTTTTGTGGCAGTGGACTGAAGTAATGAGGTTGTTCTGGTTTGCGGTCTTTCAGTAGGTTTCGTCACATTATAATGTCTCATACAGACACTTATATTGTCAGCTATGTCGCAGTTATCTGTAAGGGGAGAAAAAAAGTTAATTAAAGGCCCATTGCCAACCTTGATGCAACGCGGTCGTCTGTTTTTATTTTGAAATCGCGTTTTTGTAAATGGCACGCTCTGATTGGTCAACACTTTTGCCAGGTTTTCTCGAAAACAAGTTTATGTTTAACATGTAGGCCACCGTAAGGATGCAAGGAACCGTTTTTATTTTTCAGATCTGTGCCGTAGCAATAGCTTTTAATTGTTTTTCCGGAAACGGTGAAGGACGATGATGGTATTTTGAACAGGCACAGTTTACTGACAGCGAGAGTGTATTCCGACGGCCACCAAAAGCGTTTGATATTTTCATACGTAAAGTTCAAAACATAACTTATTCGGGAACTTAGTCTTGAATAAAACTTGCGACGATAATCGTCTCAAACAGACTGTTTTATTGTCAGCTTTGTTTCCTTTACAGTTATCTGTAAGGGAAAAATAAAGTCAGTTAAAACAACAACAACACAAGGACCAAATGTCTTCCAGACTTTTTAAGTGAGCTCTGATCAAACAGCATCCTATCAGTTAAGCGATTAAGTGGCTGGCCGCTGCGACCACCTTCATGCAAAGACGTTAGCCAGTAACGGGCGAGTCACAAAGACATAGCTGTAGAGTGAACACGCTTAAAGTCAATTGCGCGCAGAGATTATTACTTAGTGCCTTTGACCCGTGCACAAAATGACAAATTTTATCAAACAGCACTAACAAAATCTATGCCTAGATCTAATCTTACTACATATTTATAGAGACAGACTTTTCAATTGACGCACCACGGTTGTGAAATCAACTACCAAGACATATCCCAAACTCAGATTTTATTAAGTCTAATTTAAAAACTTTCCCGTTCAAACAAGCATTTTGTTAGTTGCCTGTTATAAACCACAGAAGAGGTATTATTATTATCATTTTTTAAATACACATAGAAAAATACGTGTACCTACAACGTAGCTATTTTTAATATCAATACTAGTAACACTTTTGTAAACGTACTAAGGCGCATGCGAAATGCGTAATGAGAGCTATTACTATAGTATATATTGTCAGTTCACAAGGTTTTCTTGGTCGTCCAACCGGATCATTCCCTGGTACCAGGTGACCTCCCGTCACCTTAGGTATTCATCACCTTTCTTATAAGAGGGTCTTAATGGGGTTAAATGACAGGCGTAAAACGGCCAAAAATTTGGTCGATAGCCGTGAAGATTGAAAAATTTTAACCGTTAGGCGTAAATAGGGTAAAAAAGAGTTAACCGTAAAAGAAATTGTTCCCTAGCTTTGTTAATTTTAAGGAAGGTGCAGCTGCTAAACTCACTCATGGTTGCGTTATTTATTTCCCGGCTATTTTGACTCCGTACAGACCTAAACTCCATTTCCGCCGCTCTCTCGGGGAACTAATTTTTTCCATAGTGAAAATCTCGCTTCTTGCTGGGGATTAAAATTTGCGATTTTCAGGAGGTCGTTCCGTCGAAATACTAGTAAAATAACACCTAGAGATGTCACTGTTTGTAAAACACGCAGCCGATAAACAACAATTCCCTGTTTTTCTCTGACGCTAACGTAGACATTGCCATGCCTCGTCCCTGTTCGGCGTCTTCCCACGCAATCTCTCGGTGAAGGCATTTCGGTGGCGTATCTGAGAAAAAAACTCGCTCGGACCACGTGACCCGAAACGCGTTAGACGCGCGGAATAATGAGGCCTATGGACAAGGCAACGGCAGACAGTCTTTCTGTACAGTCCTTCGCTATCATTAAAAACATTGGACACGGGAATTTTGTTATTGGTCGTTTTCAAACTGGAACTAGAAATGGATTATCCGTCTGAGACTGGCCTGTGCACAGTCGCCCCCTCCCCCACCGAAACCCCTTCTCCGATTTTTTTTCTGGGGGGAGGGGGCGGTTGTACACAGGCTTTTTGAAACGGATAATCTATCTTCAAACTGTCCGTCAAAATTAACGGATAAAGTCAGGCGGATTGTTCATTCAAAATTAAAACCCTTTCCATTTCAAATTAAGACGTATTACCTATCTGACGCGAATTATCAAACAGATAACCAATCTCACACGAATAATCCGTCTCTAGTGTGAAAACGGCCATTTCTGTTATAATGAGTCCTGCTTTCTTTAGATAAAGATGGAATCTTTTACTGACTGTTTCTAGGGCACCAGTGATGATCGGTACAAGCACAAATTCTTTATTCCACAGACGCTTCAGCTCTCTTTTTAAGTATATTATTAATTTTCGATTTTTTCCTGTTCTTTAAGATTAACTCGATGGTCTAATAGGCAAGCGATGTCTTTTATTGTTCAACTTCTTTCCTTCTTGTTATTATTATTCATTATTATTATTATCATTATTATTATTGTTATTATTACCATATTAACTTTTTTGTTGATTTTTGCAGGCAAAGTATTAAAAAAAAGGTTTAAATCCATGTCCTTCCTTGTCATCCGTTGCAAAAGACGACTGGAAACAGTTTGAATGAAGGGTTAGAAATCCAATTAAGTTTTCCGATTTCGTGCGCACAATAGAGTCGTTTGAAGATTACGTTGACCCTATCTAAGTGGCGATCGACGACTTACTTCTCCCAACAGTATTCGGTCAAGCGGAGCCCCTCCCTAGTGAACTGCGTCAGCTCGTTACGTTGACACCCGCTCAAGGAGGGCTAGGAGTACCCGACTTACGGTCTGAAGCGCCACTGCAGTTTGCTGCTTCCAAGTACGTCAATAACAGCACCGCACAGAGCATGTTCATGGTGGCAGGCGAGAATTCCACGGAGGAGTTACAAAGACGTACAACATGAAGCCTTGAAAACTGCGTCAGTGAAATCGTGAATGGAAAGTATTGATTTCACTCTACCCTCGGAACTGCTGCGGTCAGTTAACCAATCGATCGAGAGGCAAGGGTGCGAGCTCATGGCTTACCGCAGTGCCTCTTGTCGATCAAGGTTTAGTGCTGAATAAATAATAATTCAGAGACGCTCTCCGTTTAGGTATAATATGCCCTTGTCCGAATTACCATGCAAGTGTGTTTGTGGTGAGAAGTATACCGACTGCCACGCCCTGTCATGCAAAAAGGGAGGGTTCGTGGCGCAGAGACACGATGGTGTTCGTAACCTGCTTACCTCACTCATTGGTAAGGTTTGCACCAACGTTGAAGTCGAACCAAAACTACAACCTCTCGATAATGAGCGATTCAACCTCAGAAGCGAGGTAACAAGCCCGGAGGCAAGCTGGACTTGAAGGCAGGGGGCTTTTGGTCTCGTGGAGTTACAGCAATTTTTGATGTCAGAGTAACGCATGTTAATTAACTCCAAGTGTAACCAGGAAAAAGAAAATCCACAATCTTTAAGGAGGAGGAGAAAAAACGGAAGTACCAACAGAGGCTGCTGGACGTTGAAATGGGATCTCCCCTAGTTTTGGAACCAACGGTGGGATGGGAGCCGACTGCAACTGCTTTCTCAACCGCCTAGCCGAGAAGCTCTCAGAAAAGAATGAGGAACCATAATTATCACATTGAGATTTTAAGGTCGGTACACACATGCGTAAGAGGTTCCAGGACACAGTGAGGACACCCTTCCATAAAATTCCACAAGGGGATGTCATTGATGACTGCCGCTTAAACGCTAGCCAAGCGTGTGTCCGCTAATTTAAGAAGGTGATAATGGCGTGAGCTTGTAAATTATTATTTTAGGATCTTTTTGATATCTTTCTTTCATCAAAATTTTAGTCTATGATAGTGGAATGTAAATTGGTCATATGCTATTAAAGATTTTTGCTTAGCGTTCTGTTTGAATGCCCTAAATATAATCTTGCAAAACAAAACTGAAACATTAATTTTGGAATTAGGTATATACGTTCTGTTTTAGTGCTTTTAGATTTAAATTTTAAATTATTTTTTTAAACAGCTGTAAATTTTTCCTTTTTTTCCCCATTTTCAGCTCTAGGTTGTAGTTTTAGATTTAATTTTTAATAATTTTTGAATACCTGTATTTTTTTAGCCTTTTCTGGCTCTAATAACATTCGTTGTAAACTTTGTTTTTTCCAGCCTTTTTTTTAATACATAGTTAGAGTCTATTTGTAAGCCATTTTTATATTGTAAGGCAGGTTTTTATCTCTGGGAAGCACTATAGGGCATTATTTTTATGGTTATAGTGCTATATAAGTAAATAAATATTATTATTAACATTATTATTGTTAATTCAATAGATGCGAAAAAAAGCTTTTTTAAGCAAATAGTGTCACGTAACCCCTTTAAGTTTGGTTAAAATAATTAATTAGTGAAGGACACATCGTTTTCACTGTATTTAGAGCAACCACAGCTTGGAATTGGGTGGCAATTATCATTACTGTGCTTCAAGTTATAGTGAACACAATAAGAACACCACAAACCCTTAAACGTTACTCTCGTTGACCGTCTGTCAAGAGGCCACTTGGTCTGAAGGTGAAATGAAATAAGGATAATTTCACTGACTTTACGTCAACAACAAGCACATTTTAGAGTACACCTAAATGTGACTTAGTTTTACCTGTTTCTTGCTCGCAAATATAACCTCTATGTACAACTCCCGTATTGCTGCTGAATGTCCCATAAGAACCTGAAGGAAAGTTCTTATGAATCAGACCGTAAAGGTCCTTAGGGAGAGGTTCATTTTTTTGCCATTTGCTTAAAGTTAGAGGTTTACCATTGATCCAGGTCCAGTTTCCACTCACATTAAACAAACCAATGTGCCACTCATTATGATTGATATCTAGCTTCCTAATTTCGTCGGTAATGAATTGCCACTCTCTCTCTGTCTCCATGACAACAAGGTGTTTCTTTGTAGCTTCACAAGATTCATTTGCCTTTTTCCAGTTCAACATTTTGTCGGTCATCTCACCTTCAAAAGTGTAGCAAGAACAAGCCTTCTGTCCCTCTAGGCAACATAAGAAGAGACAAAAAAGAGATTATGTCGACTATAAAAGCACCCGATAACATACTGATGTGAAGTAATAATTCATTTTGAACTGCGGTTCTAAATGAAAGTGAAGAAGGATCATCGCAGTAAATTTTCCAATTTAAGCAATTGGAAAGAAGAAGCCTGAAAAAAATCAGGGACTGACCATTAAAAAGCGATGGTGGAGGTGGGAAAAAAATAATCTTACACGGGCAATCGGCCATAAATAGAGAGCTAAACCCCCACCCCTGCCCCCCTACTTTTCTAATTTGTCTTTCCCAAAACCCTGGCGGAGCTTGTTTTAAGTAGTTCAGGGGTCAACCTAATAAAACTTTTACAAAGTGTAATTTGCAAGTGTAGCCATTATTTTAGAGTCTGAAGCAATAGGAATATCAAAAACTGAAAAAAAAAGAAGGAAAGAAAAGGAGAAAGAAAGAAGAAAGCTTCAAGAAACTGGTCGGTCTGATGAGAAATAAACTTATGTAAGTATGAACCACTAAGGATAAAGGTTGACATAGAATCTGAATTTAATACATGAAACAAGTCATAAATGTGAAATTCCAATGCCGGAAAGAAGATGTATGGAAGTGGGTGAAGCCTCATAGTTAAAGGAACAACCTAAGCCGATAAAAATGAACCTGACCTGAAGAATAAGAAGAAGAAAAAAAACGGGACGCGAACCGACCGGACGCAACATTCTTTCCAATAGGCCACCTTCGATATATTAAAATTCAGCATGTAAATGACGAGTCTTAGAGGACAAACACACACACGAAAAGAAAATGAACAAACATGCTTATTCATTTTCTGTGCTTGTGTCCTCTCCCACAGAATAAGTGGCCTGTTGAGCTGATCAAGTAAACTACGAGGATATGTCTTCTTTCACATTTCCATGGCCACGGTCGGATATATCACGGACTCAAGTGTACATCACAGCCCGAAAAATCTTTACCTCCGGCGTGACGTAAACGAGCATTTATGTGGCGTGGAGAGGAGCCGGAATTTTCGACATTTCGGGCTGGAAGCGCAAGCAACCTCAAATGTACCTTTCAAGACTTTCAACAACAGCTTTGATTCCTTTCTTACATAACTTCCCTGGGAAACAAAATATACGTAGACGTTGCATGACATTGTGTTGCGTGACTTTGTTCGCCCACCACGATTCCCTTGTTCATCTAAGAATTTAGAAAATCACGAAAAAACATTGACGTCCTCCTCTTGTTGTGGCAAATACATTAAGACTTTTAAACGGCAAGGAAATAAACTATAGGCGAACGCCATCTTGGGAAATAAACTCTGAATGTTAACTATTCTTTGCATTTAAGTTCATTTTGTGGAGCACTTCCGTCTTCATGAAAGTAGTAGACGAATTCAGATTTGCGTGGATTGAAATAACCCTGTAGTATATCAAAACTGAATTATTTTCGGTTACCTAATGTATTACGACGCATAAATGTACCTCTAGTAAGGTAATTTGCAAGCGAAAACGAGAAATGTGAACAGATAATGATCATGATCAAACAGGAGTTACAATAATAGCAAAGTTAACCGTGATCAAACCTATAAAAGCGACTTCATATTAATTATTAAATTTACAAACTACTAAACACAGATCCTTACCTGTTTCGAAACGTAGTAGCCATAGAACAAGAGCTATTAGCGCATATGGCTTCGGTAAATACATCATCTAAATTGTGACTCTAACACTATGAAATCAGCAACAATGCTCCGCTCAATATTAAAATCAACCTTGAGGCATTCAACTTCCCGTCTGACAGAAAGTCACGTCTGGCAAAATTCTACATATGGAATTCCAGTTATGTATCCTTGAAGAATATAGAAAAGGGGGCGTTCATAGTTTATGGGGCTGGGGAGCAGTGGCGGGGGGTGGGGAGGGTCAAGGGGGTTGAGGCTTGGCGTGGGTTGGCCATCACCAATTTGGGGGTACCCTACAAGCAGTGGTTTCTCCAGGCCGGACGCTACGCTACGAAGGGAGAGAAACCACTGCGAGCACCCGTCTGCTTCTTTGATCGAACCGCCGTCCAACGCTATGGACGAATAAATCAACTTTAAACATGTAAATCCTGTTTGAAAGCAAGTTTAGGCTCTCGCGCATTTGCTTACGCTTGCAATTGCTGCCTTAACGCGAGCCTGCTGTGGATATTCAGTATTTCTTTGGATTATTTATTCCTATCTTACTTACTTTGTCAAATGTAGGCGAACCCAAATGGAGTTGAATTCCAAGAGACCATATCCAAGTTCAAGAGCGAAAAGAAGAATAAATTTCGTCGTTGCTTGTTTATGTTATCCATAAAACGCAAAATTAAGCATCTTTACGTCGTAGTCGTGCAAAAATGGCAAAGAAATGCAAAAATAAAAGCGTGATGCACGTGCAAAGTTGTTGCATGTTTTGCTTATTAAACCTATTGTTTTGTTGAAGTTTTCGTTGCCGTCTTGTCGTTGGACATTCTTAGTCATCACGTGGACGCGCATGCTCGATGGAAAAGGAAACGATTGCTCGCAGTGGCGAAGCGTAGCATCCGGACTGGATACTACAATAAATAAAGTTTAGAGCTAGGGGCTTGGAAGGAGTCGGCGGGGGGAAGGGGGGAGGAGGGATCGGGGCCATTGAGAGACACCAGCTTACTACTATATGAGAAATCGAATTCAGATCTCTTCGGGTATTCGTAAGTGAATTTTTAACACAGTCAATCTCCTTTTATCAATACTGGTTTCAATGTACGTGCGTTCACTTGGGTTTCATTCAGTATCTTCTCATCACTTTCATGTAACATTCTTGAACATTTTCTTGTGGGGCAGGAGAGTTGTGAATAATTTTGCCCTTAATGTTAAGTTATAGATCTGTTAATGTGTGACAACGTCCTTGATTTTGAATTGAAAAAGGAAATATATAAACTATACTTGATAACTGATGTAAAAAGACTGTCAAGCAAGTGAATATTGTTATGATCTTTTATATTAATAAAAATGAAACAAGATGAAGGTCTATGCATTAGTTAGTACGACATACCTGAATACTTGCGAGGATCTTTACATAAGTAATCTCCTTTCCCAGATTCTTGACTTTATTATTATTATTATTATTATGATTATTACTTGATTATTATTGTTGATAGCGTGACAGTGAAACCAGCAATTCAAGGGCTAAAAATTAGGCTGCGTAGTAGATCGAGAGACAAGGATATTTCTGATGTTTCAGTTTCTTCCTATTAGTTCAGTAAAGAAATCCAAATTTGTGTTTACTCCTCAGCTCGACCGACTCAGCTGCAAAGTTTACTTAGACAATAAAAAATCAGTATAAATTACAATTTATTTATCCTGTTCACAGACCCTCCGTGGCCCTCTATTTCCTCTTCAAAGTCCGTGGAGTGCGCGGTACAGGCTACAATTTATTTTGAAATATATTTTTGCCATTCAACGACCTAGAACTTGTTAGAATAAATGAAATTAACTAAAAAATAACTAAATGATCGACTAATATTAATTCTTTTATAAACCTCTAATGTCTTGGCGGACGAACGTTTTTAGATATATGATTAAACCAGGATCTATATATGAATAGATTTTTGACTTGCTCGCAATCCCAAGACAACAACAACAGCACTTGTCCGCTAATCCCTCCATCTACGCAGGCCGGATTTTCAGTGCCAGACTATCACCCATTCGACGTGTATTGAGAAGAAGGCACTTGATTGACATATATGGGTGAGTCACTGCAGGCCCCCCTGTCGCATACTGCAAGAGAGGTGTAGGAGCCTTCTCCTGGTTTCTGAAAAAGTAACATTGAATCGAATGTTTATAGATTGAATGTTGGAGCATTATTAATGCTTAAACTTGATAATGATAATGACAGTAATCAGGATTGACGCAACCCAGATTTCCCTCCGCACAAGACAGTTAAGCTTATCCGAAAAGAAAACAACCCTTCCCCCACTCCTCCTTGGACACCCACGCAGCATATCAACTTCGTTTTTTATCAACTGGGTAGATGGGCATAGTTTTCGACAGCCGAGCTACCTGCTACTTAACCGCCGTTTACTGCCTAAGTCGAAAACAAAATTCGCCGGTAACAGAGGCCAATCCATTTTCCATTGTCCTGTGAAGGTGACTAAAGTTTAACTTCACAAGCGTGCCAGGGGAAAAGACCTGCCATGTTCCTTGCTGCCGGCGGTACGGACGTGTTTGTTCTCATATGTCAGAGCAGTACCACAGGCAGTCCTGGGGTGGTCAACAGCTAGAAATTTCATAGCACTAAGGGGACAAAGAGATTTCATAAACTCTTCGATTCTTCTGTGATCTATACCCACGTTCTTGAAAAGTCTGAAATCAAACGAGAGATGATTCAACTTACTGTTGACAGACGACGCAACGTGGCGTATCCACATTCCATCCTAACAGGTTGTACTGTTTCGTATTCACACGCTCCTTCTTCGTTTTCATCAGACACACCAGCCTGTCGTCTCGGTCCATCCTCCGCTGGATTCAACAATGAGGTATTCTTAACTCCAAGCTCAAACCTGGAGAAGTACAATTATACAAATTGCTGAAATCAGGAAACAATCTGATGAAATGTATATTTTATTTATTTTTTTGCAGGTCCATACAGGACGTCAAATTCAGTGCCGTCGTCGTAGTAGTGGTAACCTTTATTAAGTGATGTTTATTGATTTTTTTGCCTTTTTTACTTATAACTTATGAAGGGAAAAGAAGGTCTCAAGAAACCATGAAGGCTTATAGGTGAGACTCCCTCCTTACATTAGATTTAGCTGTTACTATAGTTATTAATTAAATCAATATACTTATGTAAATAATGAACAGCATACAATAAAGTAATTTACAAACACATAGAAAATATTAAGAGAAAGTTAATTATTTAATAATTAGTAATAAATTACAAACGATTTATTGAGTGTTCTGTAAAATAATTAAATATGAAGTGGTCTAATACACTTAGCTCATTACAGTATTGAAAGTATCGCTGCTGCTATTATCCAGGAATTGCCAAAAACAAAAATAAAAGAAACCCCAAAACACTGAGATATATAATATAAAAATATGAGAATATGTACAGTACTAAAAATAAAACCATGTACAGACCTTTAATGTGTAACGTCAACTTTTTTCAGGCTTCTTGTAAAAGCTACTTAGTTTAGTTTCATATGTCTCAATGGAGAGACATGAAACTTAAAGGAGAGGTAAATGTGGAGAACAGTTTTTGAGAGTGTTTTCGTTTTTGTTTTTAAGATGGCCGCTATTCAAATTCAGAATGCTGTTTAAATGTAGTTGCAGATTCTCAGCAGCGCACGGTTTTCGACATATCTCAAGGACAACAGAGGAGCTTTGTAACTACAAAATGTGTATGGTTACCGCAAAGTTACATTTAATTATTTTGGATTTTATGAGTTTTTGATCAGGGTCGATAAGCGACCTCTTTTGAATCTACCTTAAGTCACTTAGGGAATGAGTGGGGTGGGGAGGGATGATCCTTTCTTTAACACAACTCTTAGTGGCCGTCTTGTAACTGATTCAACATGATGTGTACTGAATCCGGTCACAAAAGAGCCTTAGAAAAAGACAAACTTTAAGGCGGGTTCGTTTTGGATTTTTAAGTCCGTTTTTTGAATGATGGTTTGTCGGTGTAAATGGACACACAAACGTTTTGCACTTGATTGTTGTTCTGACAACCATGAAGTTCTTGCGGGGGTCAATTTAATAAAACTTTTACAAGCGTAATTTACAGTTGTACCACCGGCCACAATTGTAAATTACATTTTTAAAAATTTTGTTAAATTTGCCCCCGGAACAGTACTTTTGCAGGAGCTGTACCTTTCAGTAGTTTTATCCCTAATTGCAGCTGCTGCAAAAAGAAAGACAACAGAAAGAGGAAAAATAAAAAAAAGATTAAGATTATTCGTTCGCATGTTCTACGCTAACTTCCGTCGGTGAATATAGCAGTAAACAATAAGAAGTCTTTTCTTGTCAATGTTCTCAAATCCCTTTCATTCCGGATAATTGTTATTCTTAGCGTGCAAGCACGATTTCAACGAAGACATGTGAACGAGCCCCGGTTGAATCTAGTGCAACCTAAAAGCTTATAGTTTTAAAATAGAAAGAACGGAAAATTTTTCTTTAGCTTAAAAAAATGCTCGGGCCCAGAATATTTTTAAACGGAAAAAAAGGAAATTAATCGTTGTCGGTGAGTTACGGTATCGACGTTTAAATCAAAGGAATAATTGTGATGAGTTCCTTTTATGCATCATTGCAGAACACCAAATAGACTTCACTTGTAAATAAACATGGTAGCTGTAGCGTGAGAAGAAATTTTATTTTGGCATCCATCAGTGTTCATTAACATCTTATCAAGTAGTAGAAAGAACTGGATTTAGCTTCTTCCTGTATAACCAATTAAAATTTTATCGTAGTTTCTTCAATGTTTTATGGTCTGACACTGCCGCTAGGGTCACAGTGCGAAAAGAGTAAAACCGCGCATTAACGCATACAATGCCTGCACTTACACTTTACGTGCACTTTATTCATTGCCTACTTCATCGAATCAGAGGGGTTGAATGTTGATGATCAAATTTAAAGTTACGAACGATATGCTGAAATCTGAGTTGGCTAATAAAAATTTAAATAGAGCATTTTTCGTTTATTTATCTACCTTTTCTGATGCGTTTGGTGCGTCCTTCTAGCACTAAAATCCCAACAGTGACAGCTAAAAAAGCAACCAAGACTCCTTCTACCAAGACTGCTACCTTCCAGCAACTTAAACAGGCCGAGCTCTTCTGCACTTCATCGGTGTCTTAAATGATAAAAATAAAACGTAAAGGTTTATTATAGAGAAACTTACAAATAAAGTTTCAGCGCGTCTGTCTAGTCTTGACAGTGAAGTTGAAAAATGTAAATCGAAACCAGAAGTAACTTTCTTGTTGATTATTCTTAATTTTTTGTGTGACTGCACCAATGAAAAAAAGAACATTCCAAGCTCACCAGAACGGAGAAAAATACTATCTCCTGCTACTACTATCAGTTGCAATTAACTTCCTTTCGAGAAAATTTCTTAAACAGGTTAGCCGAACTACTGCCTTATGGCAACAACAGTAAAAATATGATGGCATCCGCAATGTGAACATTATTTGCTGCGCAAAATACACCATCATAATTATTCTAAAATTGGCGAGGAACAGAAGGCAAAGGACGGTAATTTAACATCTATCGAGGTTAGCATGTTTCAGCTTGTTTTTAAACTAGGAATTATTTTGAATGAATAATAAAACCATAATTGGATTTGGCTTTCGCATGATCAGAAGAATTATGTAGATCTCTCTTGATCTCTGTGTTATCCAAGCGCCTCCACTGGCCTTTGCGACTCGGCAGATGATACGCTATTCGATGTGCATAATTCTTTAGATCATAACCAGCAGCCTCATCCAATAATTTCTAGATAACGTATAGCCCGAGTGGCTAAGGTGCGTCTAAAGGGGAGGGAGAGTGCCACGCAGGCAGAACACCGATTCGTCTTTGGATTCTAAGGCACTGTTGCACATACTTACCAGTGGTTGAGAAAGGAAGGATGACTGCAGCAGGCTCCCCGTAAACCCATTTCTGCAACGATCCCCACCCCAACCCCCCAAAAAGGCGTTAGGAGACAGTTGGTGACACTGACTTATTCTAAGCAACAAGCATAAACATTTCCATCTACAGAGAGTTCATAAAATAAGACACACCAAAGAGACAAAAACTGATTAAGCGGTAATGTCAGTTACAAGTTTAAAAGAACATATCCAGCGGTGGCACAGTATCAGATTTTTTTGGGGGGGGAGGGGGTGGGGTATGTCTGGTTCGCAGTTTGCATTTGAGTACGTATCATCTTTACTATTGGTCTAAACAACACTTTTGCTCAGTTATGAGCATTACAATCTCAATTTCTCATTTCACAAGCCTTCGGTAACCAACACGCTCTTTTCAGGAGGCTACTAAGACGAAAACATTAATATATTCATTAAATCCCTATCCACTGAGAAACTCGCAACCCTTACATCTCTGCTATCTGGATAGTGTTAAGTTGTAGTCGTTTAAATAGAAAAAAGCAATTTTATCATTCTTCTTTTTTTCAGCACCCACGGCAAGTAAATGCACTATAAACAACTTACCCAATAACGAGACATTATCGGCCATGAAGGTTTTTGACATTTTATAGTTATAAAAAATGGCAGAATTTTACTAGTTCTTCTGCAAACCTCAGCAGTGTCAATAAAGTTACCCTATAGATACGACAGGACAGGTAATTGGATGAAGGGAGCAGCGGGAATTGTTACGAGTGTTCTCTTACCCCTTTAACTTCAGTTGCTGCTCTAACATAAGCTTTGTAAACTGTCTTACATGAAGGTTCCAGTGGAGCGTTCAGATAGTCACCATAAATTTCTCCATCGCCAACAACAAATTTTCTAGGAACCTGTTCTTTATCTCGCTCAAATCTGGCGGCAATATAATATCGATCCCCATTGGCCATTGCCTCTTTGTAGGCAAGGATATTGTCTGGCAAAGAGGATGTTAAACAACTGCTGACTATTTCGATCTTTTCTACAACAACCTCATGTGCACTGTAGAAAGAAGCAATAAGAAAGGTTTGCTTGGATGTTGACTGATTCCAGAAAAGGTGCCTGTTATGACTCCAGGTACGGTAATAAATATTTGTAGGAACAAGTGGATGAGTGGAAATTTTCTTTCATAGGACCGGATAAGTAAAACAAAGACCTCTCCGGTATGACCGGGAACAAACGCATGCGCACTTTCATATCACCCGACAGCGGCAGGCGTGAACAACTGTATCTTTAGCATTCATTATACTGCGTATTATTTGGCCCGACGCAAACTTTCAGACCCAAAAGAATGCTTAAAGTCATAATCTTATATCGCATGAAAGGGACTCCCAACAATGTTCTGAACCTGCAGCGCAACGTGGGAAGGATACAACCCATAAGACTTTCTAGACCATGCGTAATGTGCATGCGTGGTCCCAAAAATGTTCGAAGATCTGTGCAACGGATCCAACATTGTTGTGCTACGCTTTGGCGATCACGGAACCAAAGAAATGTTGGTAGTCGTTGGCTTAAAAGTTTGACCAGTTTTAAACTTTGCTTAATATAACTACTCACAACAACACGCAACATGCAACAGGGTGCACAAACGGATCCAACATCTAACATCCAGTAATGTTGTCTCCGTTTTCAGGGGCTTAAGCGAAGTTTTTATTTAATTGGGGGTTTTAGACAAGTGCAAAATAGAAAATTTATATGTTCCAAATTTAATTTGTCCTTCATTAAAAACTATTTTGTTGTAATTGATTTTAATGTCATATTTTCATTTTATCATTACTAATATGGACTCACACTACTCTGCCATTATTATCTCGAGATGACGACAAATAGATCGTTATTGTACTAGATGTGACGTCACGACCATGGAGAACCTGTGGGGGTGGAGGTGCGGATGGAGCTGCAGGAAAAATATATTCCAAGCGAAAATTAAAATATATGATACTAACGCTAGTATAAGTATAAGCGTAGCATAGCTGATAACAGGGGTAAAATTGCTAGTTTACGACCTCATGATTTTCACAAAGGGCATTTAAGCTTTTCATAGCAAGAATTATCATGTCACTGAAAACGTCTCAAGGACGAAAGAGAAAGCTTTTTTTAAATCTTATGCCCACCAGTACTCGAAATGAAGATTGCTCTTCTTTTCATCGACCAAGACGACTAGGTCGTCCAATGCTACCATACTTAACAAAGATGTGTTCAGGAAGGCCACGATTTCCGCAAAGATAGATCCTGACTCATTGATAGAAGGTGCAGCTGATTGCAGTAATTGGAGATGTCTCTTGTGGGTATGAGACATCAGCGGAGGCCGTGACATTGGAGGCTCTGCAGCCAAACCACGCTGATTGTAATGCAAAGCCAATCATTAAACGGGAGGAGACAGCGTGGCCGAATGGTCAGCGCGTTGGACTAGCAATATGGCGGTCCCGGGTTCGAATCCTGCAATGGTCACTTGCTGGATTTTAGCCTGTTCCAAGCGTTCAGATAGTGGAGAGCGGTGCGAAGTAAAAGAAAGCGATGAAAAGTAGAGGGGGACTGGGGAGAGTTTTTCGCGCTCCTCTTTACTTCCCACCGCTCCCCACTATCTGAACGCCTGGAACAGGCTAGCTGGATTTGTTCTCGGTTTTCCCGAGTTCAAATCCGCGGCAACTCTTGTAAATAACCAACTGTTTTCCTCCTTCCAGTTGGGGTTTTTAATCCTGTTATGTTTTGTTTAGATTATTTGGTTCAAATTATTTGAGTGGAGTGCCTGTAAACTAGCGCAGGATAAGCTAGTAACCTAAACTTTTTAAACCAATCAGGTCTAGAACGATGGTGTTGACTATTACCTTTTGCCAGTGTGCTCACTATAACAGTGTCACTTGGCGCACCTTCTCCTCTCTCAGTAAGAGCCGTCACATGTATAGTGTATTTTGTGCCAGGCTTCAATTTGTCCTCCTCGATAGACGTATTCCGAGACGCTTTAGATTCCACCAGCAGTAAATCATCTTTGAAAGAGGTGTTATAAACTCTTCTTCCCTTGAAATACACCTAAACAAAAAAGGGTAAACATAGCATAATATAAAATCATTTTCTACCTGCATGTTTTACATAAAATTTGAAAAACGTTTTCAGAGGTCTTATCTTAGAATTAATAGTATCGTTTGCATGATGTGAAATATTCGAGATACACTTCACTTACGGATCAAGACTTTATAGCAATGTCAGGTTAAGCAAGCTAGAAAACTTTCGGCTGGTTTTCACTAGCGACGGCGTCGGAGTCAGAATCGTAATCAGAAGCGTAGCGCTTATGATCTAGTGAAAACAGCATTCCGATACCGCGTACGACTCCGTCGCTTACGTTCCGCTTATGATCTAGTGAAAACCAGATTGTCGGAGTCGGAAGCAGAAGCGGAAAACCTAAACTAATCACAAAGCGTCAGGGAACGTGCATTCTGATTGGTTTATCCTTCCGCTTCTGCTTCCAAATCCGACTCCGACTCCGTCGCTACTGAAAACTAGCTTATAGTCCTAATTATTAAAGACACGTGTTGCTTTAAACCAGATCGAGAAGTAAATTGTTGGACTGCAATTTCAAAGCTTCTTTTCTTGACCAAGACGTCTAGCTATTTTTGAATAAACAATTAAAATTGTTTATTCAATCTTTTTAAAGTTTGACGCAAGCAGAAATTCAATAGATTGGTACTAGATGATCTTGAACCCCTCTTCTATTTAGGTCTCCGAGAACCTATAATAAATCATACAGGTAGATCATGCGCTCACTGCCTTCATTAAGGGTCAGTTTTAGTTTGTAGGGCCTCAGCAACACCCTCTCCTCTCCCCCGGCAGTGACATTGTCATACTTAACTTTGTAACCGAGGATACTAAATGAAATTTTAACTGTAAGCAAATTGCCGAGTAGTTAAATTAGTTTTTATGACAGCAATATCTATATCCTCAGGACAGCTTATAGAGGCTTGAAGCGTGGTAGACGTGTCAGAGCTGCTGGTTCTAACTAGTGAGCGAGTAGGAAGAGCGCTTACACTATTACTCAGTGGTGAAAATCAGAAAAATGGAGTCATAAGCGAATTCATAAGCTCACGGAATGTTTCCATCTTCTTTCGGCGAAATTCGTTTATCATTTATCATTGACAGTCTCTTTAATAGTAGTCCTCAAAAAAACAGATTGTCAGGGTTAGAATGAGGTGAGAGGCAGAAAAAAAAAATCTTAATTCTCGTCCTCAAGCGTCGCAATTACTTTTATTCTTCAGTTTCTCCTTGTGACTTCGCAATCTTATTTTCTATAGATTGTAAGGAAAAGAGACATTAAAGCAGATTTTGAATCAAAGATCGCCTCAGATTACAAGGCTCGCGCTTCCGATTACGACCCCGATTTCGTTTTTGGTGAAAACTGCATTGCCACCAGGATGTTCCCTTATCTGAAGAGCTACGGCTTCCTAAAGGGGTACTGAGACACATATGCATCTTAAGATAAGCCCATGACAATTATGAGGAGCTGATTCGGGGTCAGTTTGGGAGACAGTTAAACAGATAAAAAAACATCTACACACATCGTCCACTTACATTGTATTTTGCGATTTTCCCATTGGGATTAACTGGTTCTTCCCAATACACTTTGATATTATCTTCCTCTAACTTGGCCCTGATATCCGCCGGCTTATCTGGCACTACAGAATAAAGAAAATTCACAAATAACAATTTGATGTAATAGTTTTATTCTGCTACACGCAGTTTTATTTAAGAATCTCGGTTCCACCAGAAGATTTTTAAAAAAGTGTTGTTTTTTTTTTAAACTTGCGCAGGTCTTGAAAAGGAGTTTAAAAAAAATAGAGAATATTGACTTTCACAAACAAACAAGCCTTCCAATCAAATAAAGAAGAAAAAGGAAGCATAAGTTGCCGTACAAAAACAGATGTACCTCCTTCTAATGTCTTTGCTGTGAAGTAAACCATCTCTCCTGGCTCAATGGTTTTGGCTTGTATCGTGACGGTGAAGTTTGTATATGGTTTAAGGTTGGATACGATTAGGCTCTGTCCATTATTGCCTTCCTTAGTTACGATTTTTCCAAAAGCCTCTCGACCAGATTTAGTGTCGTAAACTCTAATATGGTAAGATCTTATGATTCCATTGGCATTAACAGGTTCTTCCCATGTAATGAGAATTTCTTTGTCCGATAAGACTCTGCCACTAAATTTTGTTGGGGCACTAGGACCTGTAGAAATGGAGAACGAAAATGAATAAATTGCAGGGGTGTAAACAACTAGTTGTCGTAGTACTGTTTTCAAACACCTGGCCTTCTGACCTTGGTGCCCCTATTCGGAGGGCTCACTGCATATTATAATCTTATATCATAGTGGTTGAGTGTGTTGAAAATCCCAACATTTCCAACAAGAGCAACATATTGGTTCACATCCCCCATTTGAATTCGGAAACGAAAAAATGAAGAGCCGGCCGACAGCTTCAAATTCATTGGTCAAGCAAAGATTGTCTGAATTTATAGAGAAACCCTAACCTGTTACCACGGCAACAGTGATCTCACCAAAGGTAGTAAGAAGACTGATGTCATACTGCAGAACGGGTTGGATTCAAAACTGCCACAGGAGACTGGTGCCGTACCGCCTTAGCTGCCGGATTTGCTTAATCAAGTGCCACAGCCGCATCTGCACGTTAGACTACGGTTGCTCCAGTTCTTAAACAATACGCATAACCATGACACCCGAATATTAACAAAGAATAAATAAATAAATAACAATACTTACGGTCCTCAATCGTTGTAGCATTTAATACTCCTGAAGCATCTCCTCTGACGCTTGTTTTTCCCCTGACTTTGATGTAATAGGTTGTAAATTTTTCTAAGCCAGTTAAGGTGAATTGAAATGTGCGGTTGGTAACGACTTTCTCGGTGGGTTGATGGTTTGGGCTTTTCCCGTATTCAATCAAATAGTTTTGTATGATTCCATTTGGTTCTGCTGGTGCGCTCCACGTTACATTGATGGTTGTGGATGAAGAAGCTTCCAAGAAAACACCTTGTGGACGACTTGGACCTACAGTTTTAACTCCTTTGTTATTAAATTTTACTATAATTCCACTGCCGCCCAACCAGTTTTGACTGGTTGACATACTCGCGATAAGCAAACACACATATTTCATAGCCAAAACTCTCGTCAAGTTGTAATGAATATATCACAAAATCACCTAGAACGGTTCCTAAATATTTGTAATACAATTGCAGATTACGAAAACATCCTGGTGATAGATATTCGAATGGAAAAAAATGTCGGACAAAATTTTCGTCCAATCATTTTCACTTATTCGTCGGAACGTTTTGGGATATTTACAATTTACTTGATAAAGAAACTACAGCAAAACTAATTATAAGCACTTATTCGAAAGAAGTGGAGATAAAATAGGCAAGTTTCGTATTCCCCAACGGCCCTGGGACGAGCACGATTACCAGGCTAATGCGGGTAAACTTCTTTGCAAAGACAAAAACAAACACAGGTAATTATTTCCCGCTGAGGCACTGGACCGACCACTATTTTGGTCAATTTCTTGTTATGCTGGTTGTATTTCTTAGTGATGACGAGCCGATTTTCGTTGTGCTGTTTGAAACGATGATTTCTCCAGCCTGTAAGTACGTTTTGAGGCCTCCAAAACCTTTCAACGTTTCAAATTTTGCTTTTTTTCTCCAACTCAGCCTCAGTTTTCTCATGTTTGTTTGTCTTCTTGGTGAGAAGTGACCCACATTAGCCTCGCTTTCGCGCAAAACAAGCGCTCGTCCTAGGCCGCCCAGGAAGACGAAACTCGCCTATTTAAAGAATTGAATAAGATAAAAAAATATAAAGAATTACACAAACGCACACACATAAATCAAAAGGCCATTATCTACAACACGCAGGTTCAAAAATATTGCCTTCAAACTTAACTAAGACGCTTCCTTGTCACAAACACCTTCCTTTGGCTGTATTTTGTTTTCTCTCTGTGGTTAGTGGCTTCAAACTGATCAAACTTGGGGAACTATACCGCACCTGATTGTAACGTCATCACTGTGGTACAGGGAGACCAATTTGAAGGTCCAATCTTAGTATAGCCTCGTACTCTGATACAGTAGCGTGTGTATGGCTTTAGTCCTTCAATAACTGTACTTGTTTCAGTTGTATTGAGGCTTAACTGTGTAGGTTGACCTTCCACTTTGTATGCCACTGTGTAAACGATTATGATACCATTTTGGTCCTTCTTAACAATCTCATTCCATGTGACTCTAATAGTGTGAGCATCTTCAGCTTCCGCTTTATCGATGACCGGGGGAGCACTTGGAGCTGTACGTTTAATAGAAAAAGAAAAGAAAGGAAACAAGATGGTGTAGTCTACATGTACATTTGGAATCACTTCACCGATCACAAAATCCAGGGTTACATTATAAAAATTAACCTCACAAATGAACCAATGGTAGTAGCCGGTGGCGCATTTGTATGCTGACGTCCCAGATTACTGTTCGAGTGCAAAGTAAGTAACATAACATAACAAAACATTCAAAGTTACTGGCCATACCATCTTCAAATGTTTTTGCATCTGCTATTTCTGAGAGTTTTCCTGTAACAGAAGTTTCAGCACATACTTGAACATAGTAGACTGTAAATTCTTCCAGATCAGTTAGTTGATAACTGACTTCAATGCGAGAATATCTCGTTTCATCCAAATCGCCCCTTGCTTTTCCATATGTCACTACATAACGCCTGAAATTTCCATTCATTGTTACTGGTGGTTCCCACGTCACCATGATTGATTTTGATGAACGTACATCGAGTTGCAAGTTCCTTACAGAGGAAGGAGCTGCGTGGTTTAGAAAAGGAAACAAAATTTTTAAGCACTACACAGTTTAAACAGTATTAATCATTAAGATTACTAACTAGTCTATCTTGTCTTTTGAATGCCATACACCATGAAGTACAAAGTAGAAAAAAGAACTGCTTCATCTTCCCAGAGGGACTGCTTGGGTTGAATTTGTAACAGTCACTATAAAGTCATAGTTCGATACTCTTTATATGCGTTACGTATGTGCATTCTGTGAAGCAGTTGTTTTAAAAGTATAGACAGCCCACTCTAATAAGATGCCTCCAATGAGATTGATAGGTCCAAAATACTAGTATCTATCAAAAGGGAGCCAAATCATTCAATTCATTCAGTTTTTTGCTTGATTAACAAGGCTTGGCGTATTTCATCTTGTTGATGTTAAGTTTAAAGTGAGGATAGACTAACGATGGCAACACAATGGCCGTATTTATTTTTTTTACACTAGAGACGGATTATGCGTTGGATAATTCACGTTAGACACATAACATACGTCTTAATTTGAAAATGGAACAGTCTTAATTTTGGAGACTTTACCATCTGTTTTTCCGTCAATTTTGACTGATTTTGAATATGAATTATCCGTATCCGTCTTTAGTGTGAAAACGGCCAATAACAATGAGTGAGGATTCTGACATCAATGTTGGGATTTCAAAGAGCGATATAGATCTCTAGACGGCCCAGGCGTATCACTTGATGGAGTAGATATTCCGTTATTTTTAAACTTCCTTGATATTTTCGTCGAAAGCATATTAGTTTTTTTGAGATTGTTACAGTAAATATGAGAATAAACGCCTCTCTCTTTTAAATGCCTCCTATCTATTAAATGCCCCTGCTTGGACCCCTAAAATAAAATGGACGCCCTGGCCATGGGCGTTTACTTGGTCATTTACGGTGAGCACTTTGAGGATTTGTCAGACACAAGTTTATCATTCAAAAATTTTTGATTGCAAACTACCTAAATTTGCCACACACAAAACCATCGCTTTAGGCCAAGAATGTTAGACTCCGTCCACAAACAAGCAAGTTTTCCTAAGCGAACGAGTAAATCAAGCTACAATGTAGCTTCTATCAGCAGAACAATGGATGATTACTTTACCTTGCGAGCAGACAGGGCTGCATTTCCGCAGTGTGAGTGAAGTGCGTAGCAATACTTTTCTCGTTCTTTGAGCCATAAACCAAAACGTGCAAGTTTGAGATAAACTATTTCTCGTTCTTAAATAGGGGGTACATAACCGGTGCGAAATGACTCGGGGGCAAAATGACCGTAAAGCGGCAGCTAACACCAGGAATATGTAGACTCTGCTCAAAGTAGACGATTACAGAAATTGCCCGGACTGGTACAATTAAATTCTCTGCTGATGTATGTCATTTTAGTCAAAAAAAGTTAAATAAAGTAAATTAGTCTAGGACGCGCGTGAAAAAATTGTCGAAACGTCGTCAGGGTGTTGTGATCAACACTGCGTACTAGCTGATCGACCTGACTCAGTTCATGGAATCTTGCGTTTCACCTATTGTCTGTTTTTGATGTGCGAAAATCTTCAACATGAACAGTTAATTTTAAAGAGCTACACAAACGCCAAGGCGGCAATGATGGACACAATACAGAGTGGGGTAGTTCACGGGTAGAGTCAACTATTACTAGTAAAATAATTAGGATGCATGTACATTGTACATGTATCTATTAAAGCTTCAGTTTAAGATAACAAGTTGTCAGTAGTCCACTGTACAGTTACGGTTGTTACGGTTGACCCAACCCTCCTGCTTTATTATGTTAATCCATATTATTCTTATGGAAACCAGTATTTTTAGCTCTGATTTTCACAAGAAAAGGAAAGAGGTTAGTATCAAAACAAGGTAAACCTCAACCTCACATTCAATCAGAGGCTAGGGTACTAAGCTCATTACTGTAAAATGGTCTTTTCAAAACAACAACATGCATCAGCAAACTTAAATATGTCATTTTTTACCTCCTTCATTTGGTGTTTTTGTCAACACCACAGTGGAATTGCCAATACCGACTGCAGTAAACCCAGCTACTCTAACAGAGTAACTTGCAAACTCGAGGTCCATAATTGTGTAACTGAGCTGATCTGATCCAACAGTCCCATTTTGTTCATTCCCAGGTCCCTGCTGCTTGTAGAAGACTTGGTAACCTAGGAGCTTTCCTTGTTGTTGCTTGACAGGTATGGCATCCCATGATGCAGTTAGTGAAAGAGGAGAACTGGAGCTTAAAGTGAAGTTTGCTGGTGCAGCAGAGGGTACTGAAATTGAGCAAACTTACAGCCATTAGATCATATCATGAAAGGTTTTTCATGATTATCACATGCAGACATCAGACAAAATCTATACTGTCAGAAGCAGTGTTCTTACCAGGATTTCGTACACTGGGAACCACTGTCAGGACGCACAGAGAGGGTAAAGGGGGGTCGTGAGGGAGAAAAGCAAGTCACATTTTTTAGATACAGTTAACTCAAAGTTTTTACAGGTCTGATTCTTAGATAATGATAGGTGTTTTCTTAAGACGACATAACCAATTCAAGTTTGGGTTATATCATAAGGAAATGTACGTATGAGTATGTATGCTTACGTTTCGTAATAGGTTATTTTTCCTTCCTTGCGCCCGTGGGACCCCTTGGGCTTGTTTTAGTGTGGTACACGTTTCCCAAAAAGTGCAGCAGTGCCGCAATGCCATGGTCTGGTAAGGACACTGCAGAAGAATTAGCACCTTCAATGTAATTATTGAATGTCCCAGCGATGTCAGGCTACCGGTCACTTTACAGTAATAAATGGAAACAAGGCTGGTGTTAACCTTGTGTTGATACAACCCTCCCTTTCTTTTATGTTAATAATGCTATTCTTAAACTACAAATGTAATTTTTTTTTTAAGCATAATTGTCATAAAACAAAGGAGGTTTTTATTGACAAACCTCACTCAACGGCTGCGGTACTAAGCCCACAACTGTAGATTAATCAATGGTCTATTCAGAGATGTGATGTGACTGATAAGTGGAAATAGAGCCTCAACTGCCTCAAGAACCATGCATCTTGACCAAAAGAAAATTACAATCACAGTTACAATGTATCATGTAAAGAAATTAGTGTTACACTCACCTGATTCACTTGACTGTACACTTAAAGGTTTAGACCAAGGGCCACCGGACTTCTCGTCGTTGTAGGCTTGGACATGAATGTCATACCATGTGTATGGTGTCACAGCAAGTAATGCTGCATTGAAAATTGAAAGTGGAACATCTTTTTGCATTGAGCCAGATGTTCCATTTACTTCCTGCCATTTCACAATGTAACCTTTTATGCCATCACCAATGTCAATAGGTGGATCCCATGTAATGTTGATCATGGATGATGAAACAGAAATCTGTTTCAGGGAAAGTGGTTGACCAGGAAGTCCTATAGTTGGATCTACAGTGTATCAGGGTAAAACAAAGTCAGATTACTTGTTTACTTATAGGAACCAGATAATGTTCTGCAGATGTAACTACAGCATAATACTGATTGCGATGATAAAGCATTATTCTAAATGTATTAGGTACAGTAACCTACTCCATTTCCCTCCCTCCCATCCCTAACATTTTACGGGCCTCTTTCCCCGAGCTTAGCGAGATTTTGCGATACGCGTATTTCTAGTACACTGTACAAAAGTCATGAAACACTCTCCTCCACACAGTATACGTATCTCCATAATCTTCAGATCATAATTAGGCTTAACCAATTATGGCTTTAAATAATAAGGCAGTGTGAAATGCAGACTGCGGACTGACTGCAGAATATTGTTTTTAGGGTTAAAAAACAATGTGATTACGTGTATTGTTGTCACATACTCTTTTGCATGGTGAAAACAAAAGTCCGTAGTCTGCGTTTTACACTGACCGCTTAAATAATACCTGATTTACAGCCATAAAACTCCATTCTAAGGGCACAGTGTCCAGCGCAGTTTGTTGGATGTAATCTTATGTATTGTGCTGTCACCAAAGGATTGACCAACACTCTCTTAGTACCATCATCATTTGTATTTCCCTGAAAAACCTAAAAAAAATAACAACGTATATTCCACTATAAGCTACAGGATATAATATTTTGGTCTTCTCAACCCAGAACACCTAAGACTACAGACAGAGACCAAGACAAAATAATCTACATGTGTAGCTTAAAAAATAGAAAGCATAGAAAGTATTAAGATGTATAGCGTAGTATAAACTCCCCAGCTTCACACACCGAGGATCACTAAATTAAATGTACCAGTACTGAAACTAAAGTAACATTTGACTTCTGTCTTTATACTAAAACTTTAATTATAACATAGCGCGCGTGCTTGCCCTAAATCTTTATTTACGCATACTCCTGCGTATAAAGATTTTTTTCATGATGACGTGTTCAGCTGTGTTTTTCGTATCTTTTCCTTAGTACTTAGTACCCAAAAATTGACGGAAGTGATTAAAAAAATTTCTAGCATATTTGGAATTGAGCTTCTAGGCACTCAAAACAGCAGCAAAAGTGGTGAAGATGTTTTGCAAATTAATAATAGAGCCTCTAGCTGTTCGTCGAAAAGTCTGCCATAAGGACTGACAATCAGGTGGAAAAGAAATATCCAATTTGTATAAAGTGTCCCCTGTTTTTAACGTTTGTTTATCCTTTACAAGACAACTTAATTACATTTAATTATAAGCTTATAAAGTAAGCTCAATAGCGAAAAATTATGCACTTTTGTTATTGCCGAACAATCCGACTGAAGCAGGGAAATTTCTCTTGCAATAGCAAGACAAATTACACATTCAAGAAGACATAAATTTATTACTCACAAAAACCACTGCTGACAGCTAGGTATTCTCAAGAAGCCGTAATGACCAGCCATTTTTCGTAAATGAATAAAAATAAAATAGGACTAGAGTCTCGGCAAGAAAAAACAAGTTTTCCAGTTTTTTCCGAGCAAAACATAAATCATCTTTTTAGGGAATCCAAACCATACTCCACGACTTGACCGCCGCCCGGTTAGCTCAATGGGATAAGCGCCGGTCTGCTGAGCGGGAGGCCGTAGGTTCAAACCCCGGCCGGACCAACACTCAGGGTTTTTAAATAACTGAGGAGAAAGTGCTGCCTTTGTAATGACATCTGCAAACGGTTTGACTTTCTAGTCTTGTCGGATAAGGACGATAAACCGTAGGCCCCGTCTCACAAGCCCTTGCACGTGTAACAAATCTGTGGGACGTTAAAGAACCCACACACTCTTCGTAAAGAGTAGGGCACGTAGTGCCCGGTGTTGCGGTCTATCTCACTTTCACACTCATGTATGGGGGCATCATCACTCACTCCTTCATTATTTGTAAACTGCACCTTAGCAGTCTGGCAAAGTCCCCCAACCAGTGTTGTAAATTATCCCTGAAAAGCCCTGAGGGGAGTGGATAATATGATATTTACATTCACGACTTCTTACGAACATATGACTATTTTAACTTTAGGTGGACTTTAAGACTCTTCTTTAAGACTCTTTTACCTTTGTTTCGGCTTAGTTTCTATTGATCTTTAACGAATAAAGAAGTAAATTTTATTTCTCAGTGACTCAGTTTAAAGAAAGAATTTTCTTTCAAACTAGAGGATTGTGGCGTGTTTGTGACTAACCAATAGAAGTGTTTGTTTTTTTGTGTCGCGTGTTACGAGAATTTTGCAGTTAATCAAAAAGTAAGCATTTTTGCCAGCTATGTTGTGAAAGAATTTGCTCATGCTTTTAGCTGTGCTTATATCGAGTTGTGGATGCACTTGGGAAGGTTGGAGAGCACTGAAGAAGCTACTGAGTTGCTCTCGGCAGAATTTGTTATATTACGTAGTGCACAAGGAAATTTTAAACAATTACATGAAGTTTATAAATAATTACCTTAACTAATCCTCCATGAATGGTATAGTTCAACCACTCCATTTCACTGGTATCATAACTGAAGTAAAATGATGAAACAAAGCCAGAACCTGGAAAACCTTGAGTACTGATCGCAGTAATGTTCATAATTTTTCCCAAATTCACTTGTATCCAAGGTTGTGTATCAATTGTATCAGCAACCCAAGATTTTGTGTTATTTAGTCTTGCATTTGATGCTGATGAATTTGAATTTAATTCTGAGGATGCTGTGATATCAGTGTCACGAATTTTCCTGTTTGTCATGCCAAGGAGACTGGAGGCAGTGGTACAACCTGCATGTAAAAATCAATAAAGGTGCACAAACAACTGTTAATGTACAGTTAAAAGAATTTCATAACTACAATAACAAAATCAAAAGACCTACTACTGTTTTTTAACTATATTGTTCCATTGCAAACCATGTGACATTTTAAAGGCATTTTACATATTCATTGTTAATCATATAATGTACAATAATGAACAAATTTACTTAAAATCACGATGACTGTTTACTTGGGGTGTGTACCTTTGGGATGATCCAGATCAAGATCAGTGATTTGAGATCAGTCATAGTAGTCATGGTATCCAATGAACTAATGAATCCTTAATTCCCAGAGTGGATTGGTCTGTTCCTTTGGCGTGATATGATCCGAGTAATCTATTGTAGGATCACTGATTCCTATTCAGATTTGCCCAGAGAATGCACCCTCAAATCCTAGACTTAGTGGATCCAGCTCTTTTACAATAGTTATTGAAATAATATTATTATCAAGTAACCCTTACCAAAACCACATATATGTTACATATAGCGCCTACATATATATGTGACATATATGTGACATATATGTGAAATATATAACACATATATGTGACATATATGTGTCATATATAACACATGTATGTTACATATATGTCAAATGTAGGTATTTGGAACCCATTTGCAGTTACTTACATATATGTCACACATATGTAGATATATGTGACATATATGTAGTTAATAGCATTGCATATACAGGGCAAATATATGTCACATATATGTGGCATATATTTGAAAAAAATTGATTAGGTACATACCAGCTGCGCCTGCTGTACTTTGAAGTTAATTGTTATAGATATACATGTAGTACTTATATATATCTGCTGATATCTTACATCTTCAATAAATATATTACACCTTTTTTTTTCATTGAAATAATTGTATTCTGGTCATAAATTCTTCATATACACTAGCTGTCTTAAAACTGAAAACTTATATAATTCTTACAGACTAGTTACCATTATCACATGACAGACCATTTCAGACAGTCCAACTTCAGTGTGATGCACATCAATCAAAGGAAGCTGTTGACACTGTTTTTCAAATTCAGATTGCATTTCGAACAATTTGGCCAAAAAGAAGCAGTAAAATTAACAAATAAGCAGATTGAAGATTTCAATCAACATGATAAAAATTGTCATTGTATTACAACTTATTTAGACTGCCATTCACATGTTTGTTACCAATTCCAACAACAATCTGATTATCGATAATAAGAGGATTCAACACACACGCATGTACATGCATACATATATATAAGAAAATAATATGTGTTCTTGTATCTTCTAAAAAAATCATTTTGTCTTTGATATCCCCTCCTGCTTGCAGTGCACTTGTCTTGGATTGTTTTTCTCACTTTGGAGATGACATTCCCATCCTTGAACTGGGATTGAACAAATGCTGTAGATTGAGAAGGATTTAAAGCAATCACACAACTGCCAAAGCTTAATATTAAATGCTATATATAGTAGATGTGTTACACATGTTTATAACCTGCATGAACACATGATTAGGACCCCCCTTGTTTTCACCAGAACCGAAATTAAACTAACCAAAGAAAGCATGTCTTGTATAATTAGGATTATATGTAATATTCTCATTGATTCAGTAAAATCAAAACAATAACTGATGCCATGAAAATTAAAGCTCATAATGTCATAGCGGTACAGGAGTTTACATCAAAGAGTAGCATATCATTTCCATAATGAACTGAGAGGGGTTGTTTTACTTTAGGGAAGGAGGGAGGAGAATCAATTCATTTCTTCTTCAACAAATACAGTTTGCTACTATATAAAAGAGCTTAATTAATAGATGATTTATACACTGAATGCAAATATGGCCGTCAGGCCTTTTTTTTGTTTAGCCAAGTTTTCATAGAAATTATAATGATTTCACGTGAACAAGTGCCTCTAAGTATATCATCTTAAAAAATTTGAGCTGCAAAGTTATGGCTGACTGAAATTATAAACATTTGTGTGGGAAAAGATAGTCTATATCCTCACTAGCCTCGCTTTCATGTTTTTTTTCCCAAAATGTGAGTGCCAATACCTTCTTCTTAAATAAGAACATGGCCCTGAAAATACGCACAATGACTTATTTTGACCTGATCTTTATCATTATCCAATTGCTTTTCTTTTCTTGAAAACCTGCCCAGACCAAAAATTCTTGGATGGCCATATTTGCATTTGGTGTATGGTATACATGCAGTCAACTCTCTCAAAGCAGACACCAAATGTAAGGCAAACATATCTCTAAGACAGACGTGGTTGGCTAGTAAGGTGGACAGCTAGAGCTAGTCCAATGGGTGTCCACCTTAAAGAGATTTCATTGTGCAATAATAAAAGCTGGTTTTTTTCCCATGAATCAAGCATAATACATGCACGAAAAACAAGTAGGACAAGTAATGCAATCAAAGAGCATACATGTACCTGTGATGGCTTTAATGATTTGAGGGCACAGCTGTCTGTAGCCCAAGTTGCCCCCTCCTGCCAAGTTTGAAATCATTAAAGTTTTTTTGTCAAACATGACGTCAATCAAGTATGCTGTCATAGTGCCCACTGATTTTCCTTCTGCCAATGCATTCAGTCGTTGGGTCGGGTACCAGAAAACCCCACTCCCTATGGCCATTTCTTCCATCTAAGTAAAAGAGATACAATAAATGAGTGAAATGTACAGTGAAATGTTCACATCTGTACCTTGAATTCTTCTTCAAGTTTAATAACAAAACCCCAACTTTGGATGAAGAACAGAAAAATTTAACGCACCTATTTAAAGTCTCCCTCACAGAGAATTACATTTCTTCTGGATGACCTATCAAGGGCTGGATTCATGAAGCCCACCTAAACTAAGACATATCCTAAGCATTGTTTATTAACAATAGTCTATTGTGGTTACGACAATAGACTATTGTTAATAAACAATGTTTAGGATTTGTCTTAGTTTAGGAGGGCTTCATGAATCCGGCCCCAGAATGTTAAACTTATTACCAATAACATTGTGACTTCATATCAAGCAGATGCACCCTTAGTATTTAGGGAACACTAGGTTTGTAGGTTGTACATGTAGGGTGCTTGAAATAAACAACAAATACATCTGGTAAAACAGCTGCCCTCAAATATACAATTGAACATTAAACTAGGAGTGCTTGTTATTTAAAGCATGCATGTACAGGCATGTGTACCTTGTGTTTTGATGCAATTACTGGAGAAATGACTCCAGCAAGTGGTTTGTTAGTGTCTTCACTATACTGATCTGAAAGAAATTAAACAAAACAGTCCTATAAGAATAGGTACCTGTACCAATGAATCAAAAACATACATACATTACACAACCCTCCATCATTTTCAATGATTGACAATCAAGTAAAAAAAATAGTGAATAATAATTAAATTTTAAGTGTGCCAATTAACTGTTATTTTTGTAGGATAAAAAATGTTTCTAGTGGCAGTTATATACAAAACATGATAACAATAAACAGTAATTCTAACCATTCAATTTCTGCTCTAATTCCAAAACTTTCTGCTTCAGTGAGGCATTTTCTTGTCTCAAGAGACGGCATTCCTCTCGTCCACACTTGGAGAGGGCAGGCTGAGATCCTAAAAGAAACATATATTTGTAATTATAAGTACAAGTTTTATGTTTATATTCAGTGAAGGTAAACTTGATCTACACCTGCATACATGTGTGTTCATTCATTATATTCATAACAGCTACAGTCAAACCTGTATAAAGAAAACACTCTCAGGACCCTCACCAAGTCTATATGCCTATATGATGTTTGTTCTTTTGACACAACTCCAAGACCACATTGCATATCAGGTAGAGCAAGTGCAAAATGAATAAAACCATGACATATAACACAGACAATTAATGGACAGATTGCTAGATACCATGCATACTCACTTTGCTCTTGATCAGTTTCATAAAAAAGCTTCCTTGATCCCTTCTCTTTCCTTGATATTGGTACAACTTTAGAAGCACCTTGCAAAACAAAATACATGTATGCATGCATCTGAATAAAATTTACTTCATCATTGGGATCATTAACTTGAGTGTAGAGTACCTTAAGTGTAACTTGAATAAAATTTACTTCATCATGGTAATCTCTAGCTGTTGTTCTACTTCCTTTTAAATTATTGTTACAACTCCAAGACCACTTTGAATATCAAGTAGAATATATGCATGCAAAACAAATAAAATCATGAAACAACAATGGACAGACACTATAGATACTATACTCACTTTGTCCTTGAGCTCCATCTGTCAGATTCCTTGATCCCTTCTCCTTCCTTGATATTGGTACAACTTTAGAAGCACCTTGCAAAACAAAATACATGTATGCATGCATCTGAATAAAATTTACTTCATCATTGGGATCATTAACTTGAGTGTAGAGTCACCTTAAGTGTAACTTGAATAAAATTTACTTCATCATGGTAATCTCTAGCTGTTAATTGTTCTACTTCCTTTTAAATTATTGTTGCAACTCCAAGACCACTTTGAATATCAAGTAGAATATGCATGTAAAACAAATAACATCATGAAACAACAATGGACAGACACTATATAGATACTATACTCACTTTGTCCTTGAGCTCCATCTGTCAGATTCCTTGATCCCTTCTCTTTCCTTGATATTGGTGCAACTTTAGCATCACCTTTCAAAATATACATGTATGCATGCATCTGAATAAAATTTCATCATTGGGATAAAAGTGTAGAGTACCTTAAGTGTAACTTGGAAGGACCTTACAAGTGATAACTGCATGTACTAATCATTTTCACTTTTCTTGGTTGCTTTGAGTTATAATTAAGAAATAGCTAATTAGATCACATTAAAGCACATTATATGTTAAAAAGAACACAAGAAGGGCTTGTCAATGATGAGTGCTTTGTTTGGTGAAGGTTGAGATTTTGGTGGCATATTTTCCTTAAACCATTCTGGTTCCTAATTCTCAGTAATATGGATAGTTTTGGATTTGCATGCAAATTTGGAACAGAAATCAGAAAAAAAAAACATAAGGTTCATCTGTTCAGGTCAAGTAGTAGGAATGCTAACTACAGGTTTTTCAACAGCCCAAAACTTAGACATACCCTTCTGAAAAAGTTCCTTTAGCGGTGAGCGGTATGGCACAGTAACTTCCATTCCTACAAAATCATCATCAGCATGCATCTCTTCATCACCTGGGAAGTACTCATCCTCACTGCTGTTTAACGGCTCACTCTCAGAATCAACCATTATTAAGCTTCCAGAATATCCAAGGGATGAGCTATGTGACTGCTGGCTTGGAGATACTTTGGCCTGTTGAAGACTACATGCACGCTCGCTTTCAGAGTCACTCAGCTCTTCGAACATTCATGGGAAGAGCTACTTATTTGGTTTTTAATTTGGAATGTCTTTGCCTGCTGAAGCCTCTGCTTTAGCAGGGCTTCCTTTGCGGCTTTTGCCTTTGCGGCCTTTTTTGGCCTTGGCCTCCATAGATAATTTCTTCCTTTTTTTTTTTTCTTCACATTCGTCTTCACTTTTGTTTACTTCTGGATCGGATTCCGTCTTTCCTTTTTCTGTGCTAGACCAGACATTTGTTCTCTTCCTTTTCCCTTTCCCCCCTTTGTCTACTTTGGCTTTTGTCTTAGTTGGCAATTTTTTTCTTTTGAGTTCTTCTCTGCTGGACATTTGTCAGATACTCTAGATCTGTAGGATAGCAGACATTTAAAAAGAAAACACTGAAGTCAGACAAATGGAAGAATATCATAGTTATGTCAGATGAATTCTTGGGAGGCTTGAAAAGATTGAGTGTCTTGTGTGGCAAACAGAAACAAGGGAAATGCCAATCATTGCAGGAATTGATTATGCAAATGTCTAGAAATAATATGTCAAATTACATTAATTCAGTGCAACTAAAATTGACATTCCACTACATGGAAGCTCACTAAAAGAAATACTTGACCTGTTTTGACTGTCATGCAACAACTTTTTGCAAATTATACCCATCAGTGTTATGTATACTTTTCCAGCTTATAACACCAAATTAAAGGCAAATGAAATCAATGCCATGTTGTTATAATAATTATAATACAAATACAATGTACAGTGAACTATAAAATCCTACTTAGGAAGGCCCTTTGCTCCTTCCTCTCACCCTGGGATTTATCAGTTTGTGTTAATGCATGGCCAGGCCTTTATTTTGTGATGATTTAATTAGTCTTACCTCCAATGTCCACAACAAATGCAGGATACCAGTCCTTGTGATGGGCATCCGTCCACAGTGCATCACAAGATGCTCCTTTTTCAATTTTTTTCACAGTTTCTAATCTCATCAGCACTGACTATATTTTTGATGTTGTCATCCTTGAAGACAACAAGGTAGTGGTCTACGATAAAGAACAAAATATAATAAGACACATCAACGATATTATAATCAATTAATGGCACCAGACAAACCAGTTTGTATGCTGCACACTAAATAATAAGAATGCAATCTTGAAGTTAACATATTGAAATTTCGCAAAGAATCTTGAAGTTGCTCTCAGCTTATATAGTGCATGGTCAAGAGCTTTGATCCTGAGCCAAATATCAAAGTTGATCGAAAAGAAACTGATCGTTGTTGTTTAAGAATAAACCAGTTACTAATCTATCCAGATCTATCAAAGATGGAATGTATAGCTAAAGAATGAATCATGCATTATTTATTACCTTGACAATGATAAATGAAAAATCGAGGGGTGATCCCAATTTCAAAAGTGCCATCTATACAATTAATCTATCAATCAATAACCAGGCTATGACCAGACTGTAAGCAGTCCCTCTTTTCTTTGCCGTCGATTATTAATTGAGCAAGTCGAAGATATCAACATCAGATAGAAACGAGAAAGAAGCGATTTTGACAGATTTGGCGAACAGTTACATTTGTAAATGAACGCGGCAATATTGAAATGAGTGGAACGAAAGCCTAATTAATGATGATCTTCGGAACGAATTAATCCTTGCACAATATCCGAAACAACTGATATCCTGGAAAATTCTTAGAAATTATTGAGCATGAATGAAAAGTTCGAAATATATATGAGATATGAGGTGAACATATAACGATAAAATTATGCACGTCTTATTCAACCTCTGAAGAGGTTGAAAGGACTACGAGCTGTACGTTGCACGTGTTCTGTCCCCAGCATATATGCGACATTCTTCCCAGCATTTAAAACTACAAAATTGATTGCCAAGCTCCATCGTATAATGCAAAAGCCTAAATTTATTTTATTCAAGCAAAAGATTGCAGTGTATATTTACTAGAAAGAGTTTATATAGGTCGTAGAAGCGTGTTTTTTAAACCGCGTTCATTGAACCGCGAAACGCACGCCTGTAATTTAATTAATTCCTATATAAGCATGGGCCGAGCTCTCAAAATCATTGTTTTAGAACAATAATCTTAATTTAGGCACTTACAAGAATTACATTTGGAAGTAAAATGACTTACCAAGATGATCAGTGAAGCGAGAAGGTGCTTTTGTTTTCCTCATAATTGCAGAAATCTACAAGCTGACAAAACCGAACTCGATCCTCTTCAAAACGAACAACGAAAGGAACAACGAAATGAACAAATGAGCGCGAAAACGGCCTCTGTGAAGTTTTCGCGCTCATTTTGTGTAGTCACGTGTTAGGTGTAAGCCAATCAGCAGGGGATTTTGATATGTATTAGATGCCAGTCCACTCTACCTGCAGTCTTTCCTGAGTTGACCATGGAGTCGACGAAACGAAAGAAGAGAGGTCGATACAACTCGCATCGAAGAAACCCTGCTATACCTAAGCCGAAAGCCACTGTTTCCCGACATAACAGGCGAAAAGCAAACTTCTCATCGGATGAAGATGAACAAAGAAAAAAAACGTGTTTCAAGCGAACTGTTGATGTTGTTTTCGAAAATAGTCAAGCATCATCGGACGAATCGGATTTAAACATTACAAATATGTACTTGGCTTCATGTTCTAGTTATCAAGATCTAGACCACGAATTGTCAGACGTTTTGTCGGAATCAACGCATGATGACGACAGTGTAGAAAAACTGGATGCGATTTGGAGTGATATCTCAGAAGACGATCGAAGCTCCACATCTTCAGATGACGACCAATTCTGTGCACGTGGAGACAGTTATAATCACATCAGGAGTAAATCGACTGATGAAGAAGACCCTGTATATGTATACCCTGGGTCGCCTCTTTTGTTGTCGGAAAGCATTCTTTTGATTCTTACTTTGGCTGTAGCTCACAATCTGAATGGAAGTTGTCTTTCAGACGTAATTTCTTTGATCAATTTGCACTGCATTCCTGGTCCACTCAACAAGTGTGTCAACTCACTCAGTGAGCTCAAGAGGTACTTTGCTGACTTCGAGCTTCCCATAACAAAACACTTTTACTGCAGTTTTTGCTCTGAGTATCTTGGTGTTTTAAGTGATACTCCTGATGTGTGCTCCATTTGCAACAATGATGTGAGAGATCCAAAGAAGAAGTCATATTTTGTCATCCTTTCTGTCGAAAGTCAGCTAAACGAGCTTATGCAAAGTAAGTAAGAAAATATAATTTTATATGTTGCAGTTTAAAATGATCTTATGTTAAAATGATTTCAAACTAGTTTGATTTGTACTTTTCTTTGTCTTAGGATTATGGTAATCAATCTGGAACAAAAGAAAATCAAAACTAACCAAGTTTGAAATCATTTTGACCTAAGATTCATTTCAAACTACAACATATACAACAGTGATTGATGTTAAAATGGAATAAATATAAATACTGGCTTAACTACAGCATCATATATTTAGCCACTTTCGATGCTTCCTGGGATAATAGCTAGATATATATATCGCTTAAAATATGCAGTCACCCCTATTGAAGTATAATATTTCCAAATATTTGGTCCTATAATGGGCCAGTAAGATCCATGTGACAAAAAAGTTTCAAAGTCTCTGAAAGTTAAGCCTAAAATGATGATTTAGTTTTTAAATGTATATGTAAAAAAAAAATATTATTGGAGTCGGTTTTCACATGATAGCAAAATTATCAAGGTCTCGATTTGTGTTACCCACCTTGGCTGTGGAAATTCTTACTATCTTACTCACCATATGTATTTGAATAAGTGCCCTGTGCGCTTCTTTAATGTTAGGTCCTTTAAGGTCGATGTTTATTCAAGGTGGGCACTTATTCTGATAAATGCAGAAACCTCATCCTGTGGCAATTGAGCTACATCAAATTAATAGCTATAATCTGCTGGTGGTGTCGACTGACACTCAAATCACAGTATTTTGTGATAAAAGAGTGCAGTGATGTTTTATCATTCAACCAGTAAGCTTGATTTTCTTTTGTTGTATTTTTTTTTGTCATCTGATATTAGGAAGAGAATTTCAGGAAGATATAAAGTACCGCTTTCTGCGAGAGAAGACATCCCCTCACAACATTGAGGATGTATATGATGGCCATCTCTACAAGAAGCTGTTTGAAAATAATGGCCCACTTTCTCAGCCAGAGAACTTATCCTTAAAGTTCAATACAGATGGTGTTTCTATCTTCAAATCATCAGGTTCAAGTATTTGGCCAGTGTACTTTGAGATCAATGAGTTGCCACCAAGTAAAAGGTAAAAATTAGAGTAAATTATTATTGGTGAATTGTAAGTGCATCTTATTAAACTTTTGGAATTATCATTGTATTCTCTATTCACAATACTATTTCCGAAAACATTGCAAAAAATTAGTTGCCTTGTTGATGACTGGAATGACACATACTGTACATATACTTAGTTGAACTGAATTACATTGGTTATTTAACAACATTTTTCACTACTATTTTCTGTGATTGTGCCAAACCATTATTTTCATCAAAGGATATTATTATAGAGTTCCGTATCAGACCCTTTTTATTTAAAAACTAACTTTCATTACTCTTACCCTATTGTTCCTTTTTCTAGGCTGGAAAAAAAAGCTCTGACTCTGATAAATGTAAATTCGTAAGTGCATTTTAATGTTTTCATGTTTTAATTAATAGGAAACGATTGGAGAACATGCTTTTGGGTGGCCTCTGGTTCAGTGACAAAAACCTGTGATGTCTACCTTTTGAAACCTTTCAGAACTTCATTAGAAGACCTTGAAACAAAAGGTACCTGGATACATGGTGTCTCTGAGACAGCTTTATGTTCATGTCTATGTTGTGGCTAACTAAATTTTTTTATGGTTTAAAGTTTGTTTGGCAAGGTTGATTTTTATTTTCCCTGTTTTAAAATGTAGTTATAAATATAAGACAAAGGAAAGTATAGTTTTAAAACTAAAAACAAGTTTCAGCCACAACATATATACACTGTACATGTACTTATATTTAGAGTGTATATAAAATTTTGTATAAAGTTTTCAAGCAAACTGTACTAGGAATAAATGTACGTGATTTCTCCTGGCCAACTTGTATGGTAGTGTATTATACTGACTAGATGCATAATTAAGTTTGACATTAGGAGAATGTATCCTAATCTTGTGCATCCTGTGCTGCCAAGCGGTGATCATTTTCATTGTTTGCATGATTTGTGTACGTTTTTGGTGCCAAGTTGGTGACTACAGAAAACAGTGGTTTAGAATTTACGGTGACTCTTAACAATTGTATTCCCACAAAATATCCTATCAAATCCACTTTTGATTACTACTAGAGTTTTTATATTATTGGAAACATTGAGCCCTGGCCAGTTGAGCTGAGTTCATTGTCCTGTGTATGTAATATGTGTAGTAGATGTGGACCCACTGTCCCAACAACATGATTATACATTATTTTGTTATTGTACAAATAATTTAAAATATACTTTGTTTATATACACTTTTAGGACTTGTTATGGAGATTCCAGATAAGGGAAATTTTACCAGTCATGTGTTCCTTCTTGGCTCAGTTCTTGATCTTCCTGCAAGGTGTTCCTTTTTAGAGATGGTTCAGTACAATGGCTTTTGCAGCTGCTGTTACTGCATGGTTTTGGGAATGTCTTGCAAATCAAGTGTGAAAGAAGGACACAGGGGAAGAGTTACAGTTTTTCCTTTCAATTTTGAATCAAACAATGGACTTGCTAAAGAACGCACAAAAGAAAGTATGGTTGCAGATGGCTTGCAGTTTCTGCAGGGTACATCAGGAGGAAAACCTGTAAGTTAGTGTACTGTCATTAAATGTCATGAAATGATTTAGTCTACTTCATATATACCTTTATCCTGGGTGTTAGTGTTTGTTTTTTTTGTTTTTTTTTTCGCACATTGAAGACCCTACATTCACAGAGTGTCGAAGTTGTATTATACTATTGTCATTTTCTAATGGGGTTTCTGAATCATCACAAGAATTTTCAATACCTCAAGGAGCCTTATAAGCATTAATTTTTGTAATTTCACTTAGATTTAGAAACCTACATAGAAAACTATGACTAATACATATGAAACATTTAACACAAAAATAAAATACGAAATGTACTGTTCTAGTCGACCTTACACTACAGTGTACAGTAGACCTTAGTTTAATTGACATCTACATGTACATCTATAAAGTGCACTTTCATAATTATTTGTTTTCTTACATTTTCTTAGGTAAATGGGATGAAAGGTGTTTGCCAGTTTGCAAGCCTTAAACACTATGATATCAGTAAAGGTGTTTGCCTGGATTACATGCATGGGGTCCTGCTGGGAGTTACACGACAATTGATGGCCCTGTGGTTTGATTCAAAACACAAGGACCAACCTTGGTACTGTGGTGATCGTGTCAGTATTATTGATGAGCGTCTTTGTAGTATCCATCCACCCATGAATATCACAAGAACACCCAGACCTATTGAAACTCATCGCAAGTATTTTAAAGGTATAATATCCATTAAGTCTACATATGTGATAGATGAGCATACAGTCGTGTACTGTTTAAAGTAGGCATGTTTTCTTGTAATACATATACCCTATGGTTCTTTTTTTTTTTTTCACAGCAACCGAATACCGAAATTGGCTGTTTTACTACAGCGTTCCTTGCCTGGTTGGTGTTCTTCCCGATGTTTATCTTCACCACTTCATGCTTCTTGCATTTAGTGTGTGGCTGGTGAATCAGCAGACTATTTCACCAGAAGAAGTCAATCAGAGTGGAAACCTTCTGGCAAAATTTGTGATGCTGATGGATGCCCTCTATTGTGAGTATTTAACTGCTTCATTTGGGCCTCCATGCATTAACTTTTGTTGAGATCAATGTATTTGTCAATTAATAGTTAATTATTTTGACACCATGGTGGCTTTTACAGCTAGTGAAATGGGGTGTTTGCATTTTTTTTTTCAGCTGAGCGTCATATGACCATCAATATCCATAATTTGCTTCACATACATGCATCAGTTCACAATCTTGGACCACTGTGGGCAAATTCAACTTTTGACTTTGAGGATGCAAATGGGGAGTTAACTGCGCTTTTCCATGGCACCCAGAACATAGATATGCAGGTGATCAAAATAGCAAGAATCAATAATACTGTGCTCATAAAATATATATTTGAAAGGTATCTAAAAGCAAGTCTAATAATTAATTTACTCATTGATCAATAAGATGTATGGAAGGATTCTTTTGATCTTTTGTAGATAGCATCCTCAGTCTCTGCAGTCAAAATTGCTCCAGACCTTGCGCGGAAATTGGACAAAGACTCTCCTAGTTACAGTTTGTACAGAAGGATGAAATTTGGAAAAGAACAGAAGTATGTATGGCAGTAGTATGTTTCAAATACTATATTGATTTAGCTTTAAAATCAATAACAGTGACGTGTTCATAGTCCATAAGACTCAAAAGTAACATGATTCTAACCCTGTTAATACCTTAGTTTAGTTCGTTCTTATTGGTCGATATACATTAAGCCATTGGTAAAAAAAATTGATATGTTTTTTTTATGCATTTAAGGTCAACAAAGCTTGAGGATGGAGTGCATTTACTTGGTGCTTTTACTGACTTTGAGGTCCCAGAAACTATAGAGCAGCATATCAAGGATTTCACTGGAGATTTGGCTCTGGGAAGATGCCAGAGTTTTAAGAGGGCAATCATTCGTGGTGAAGTATTTCACTCTAAATCATATGGCCGTGTTTCCAGAAGAAACAGTTACACTGTAACCTATGAAGACAGTCAGAAGAGGAGGGAATGTGGTCAAATACAGTATTTTGTGAAACATACACCCATTTGCCAACGTGCTTGTATTGCCTTATGCCAGTGCAACAAAGATCAACACTTTGCCATTGTTGTGCACATGGAACCATTAAGAGATTCTAACCTTCTGGAAAAAGCTGGAATTGAAGGAATCCAGAAGCAGCTTCAGATCATGCAGAAGCCAAGGTACACAAACATGTCAAATGTCCTATCTGTGTTTAAACCATTGGATAAATTAATTGTGCAGTTAAGTTTTTGCTTTTGGAAAATCTTTTTTTTTTTTTAATATCACACTTACATACCAAGCATCAGAATTTGTTTGATCCGATTTCTACCAACCATCCAGATAATGGGTCTCCTAATAGCTACGGTACAATTGGGCAGTTGGAGTATTGAAACATCAGAACACAAGATGCGTCATGTATTTACTGTTGATGACTATATAACCACTACACTGTCACAATCATCTATTAATGCAATAATATGTCAATGCAGCAACTTTGCTAACTTCACAGTGTACGTTGAAATAAGAACTTGGATCAATAGCATTATCCAAGGGTACAAATTATTGTTTAAGAAATACAAATATACCTGTATATAAATGTAGGTTTTGGTAATAAAACAAAAGAACTTAATTACTTTATGGCTAAAAGATGGACAGCGATATTGAGATCTTTTGTTTTGTTCCGCATCTTAAAAATGGCCTCATTTTGTATTTCCTACCTCATTTTCTTTTTATTTCTTTCAGAATGGAAAATGTTGATGTCATCCCAATCAGGAACATCTTACATAAATGTGTTTTTATAGATGTTAAGGATGCTGATGATTGTGTTTATGTGACCCACTTCCCGAATTTCATTGAAACAGACTGAAACAATTGGAGCTGGAAATTGTTGTGTGATACCTTTAATTAATGTAAATATATGCATATGCAAAAAAAAAAAAATGTACATCAATAATTTGGACTATGACTGAAAAATAACTCGATCGGTGCTCAAACTCGCTCTGTGACATATATTGTAATATTTATTAAGTCAATAAGGCTCCCCCGGCCCCCACGTCCCCCCACTGACACTTGCTAGTTTTCTAGGGTTTCATTTTTTTTTTTTAATACTCCCTTCTGGTGCCATCAAGTATGTCACATGTATGTTGAGTGGTCCCAAGTGCCTTTTATGCATGCACATTAATTAATATATATATAATCATACTGCACTTCTACATGTATGTCACATATATGTTAAATTATCCTGAAAGATATTACATATATGTAACATATATGCATGGTCATTTCAAAACTTTTACATATATGTCACATATATGTCTTATCATCCTATGAGATATTACATATATGTAACATATATGTATAGGCACTTCAAAACTTCTACATATATGTCACATATATGTACAGTTATTTGACATATATATGTTACAGCTACATATACGTCACATATATGCAACATATATGTGGTTTTGGTAAGGGAATGTTTTAAGAGGATACCATATCATTAACAGTTAGTAAATCATACCTGAAGGGGTGTTAGAAGACTGTGTACCTATGAAAACATGTAAAAAATAGTGTTAGAGAACATTGTAAAGCGATTTTTTGCCGGACCCTGCTACTTCAGCAAAATTGAAAAGAGTAAGATGTCAGAATACTTAAAAAATGATTGCATCAAAGAATATTGAACACAATAATTAATTAATTATTTATAACTACCTCCACATGCAGGCCACTTACCTTAAGCAACTAAGTACCTATTCAAAACACAATTTTTTTCCCACTTAAAGCCTTCATTTGGAACCTTTTGTACACCTCACCTGTCTCAGTTTTCCATTGTTTTTAAACTCTTATACATGTAAGCAACCATTTCCACTTTACGCATGGTGTTTAGTTAACGATCAAGTACAGTGTATGTTTTCTGTACAGAGCACAGCGATACTACTCACATCATACAAAGAACTTTTGTTGATGTCATGGAACTGCATATCATACAGTAAAAACTAAGAAACTGCATGCAAAACAATGTAAATTATCTTCAGAAAAGAGGGTTTCAGGGCTAGCTCATCTCAATTCTTGTAGCTAGTGACTGTACCTCACGTGAGAAACCACTGGATCTTGGCATTTGAGGTGGTAGCTTTCAGGAGGTTCAACTGTATAATTATACGGTGTGAAGGTGAGAGCAGGCAATAAAAGGAAAACAGCAGTCTCATCCTCCCATACAATTTTCATTTATTAATACGTCTCCCTGCAATTTCTATGCATGACTATTACTGAACTCATTCAAAACTTGTAAATACATTAGAATATATTTTGAAGTTGACTAAACTGTTTTTTGCTTCGTTTTTTGTTTGTTTTTACTTTGTTTTTTAGTTGCACTGACGCTACACTGGTTTCCGCAGTTTCCGGGAAAACTTGTCAGATGAAAAAAAAAGTCTTTGGACAGACTACTGAGCATTTAGAAATTGAGGCAGTCAATAATTATAAATAAGCATCACTTGGAAATCAAAGATCCAAGAGAATTTCAATGGTTGATTAAACTTTATATCACACATTATTTTCCTCATAGCTAATGTACTAAAAATATGTACGGTATTGTTCCAAAAGGTATTTCAGGGTTTCCTACTTCAATTTATAGCTTGATTGTCGCACATACAATAAATATACACTGAGAATAATTTAATAAAACTACTTCCTCAAAGTGAAAACGGTCAGTAGGAAAATACTATAATTATTCTAAATTGATTAATTATCATGACATGCAAACGACAACAACGTTTGACTTAATTACAGCTTACTTTTACCTCGAAATGAATAATCTCTGGCAATAGATGTCATATATTTATTGCTGGAAAGGCCCGAGGTTATGATAATGAACATGTCAATTCCAGCCAATTACAGTGCAAGTGTAGTTACGAATGTCTCGCTTCCTTACAGACTTTAGACATGCAAGTCCTACAAAATACTAACAAAATTTTTGCCCGCAGAACCGGACGGACACAACAGACAAAGCGACACAAATGAAATCAACAAGATGCTAAAGCAGGGTAAGACTAATTTGCAGAACTCAGCGGACCGCGGAAGCGGGCGGAACCTACGGAACCTAAAGAAATGACCGTTTTATTTAGCTAACGAGATGAAATAATTAGTTACAATCAGTTATAACATTGACACACTGTTCACAGTCCCCTTTTTTCCGTCAGATCGTCGGGATCGCTCACCTTCACTAGCAGCCATTTTGTAATTGAATTCAAATGAGGGTCTCCCAGGGGGGTCCTTGTTCCCTTCCAAAATTGCCCTATGTTCCCATGTTCCCACACGTTTTCCTTATTTGCTCCCCTTTTACATGTAATAAATTTGCTTACCACTTATAAACACACTCAATTCCCTCCCGCAAAAAATAAAAATAAACGAAGAGAGACGTTCAATTTGTGTGACACATCATC